CAATCTCTGTCATTTTATCCGAAATTTCAAAAATGCTTCCACAGTGGGGATACATTAAAAAACCAAACTATAACCATTATTTGTATTTCCAAATAAGGGCATCCGATGAGCTTCCACTTTTCTTTTTGCGCTCTTTGTAATTATCGAAATCTTCACAGATCAAAGGTAACCAACGGGTGTTCAGATGTGCGTATTGATATTGGCTAAAAGTTTTTTTCCGCTGTCCTAACAAACGGTATCCCGGTCTCAACGCTCACTTGCGTTGGCCTGCAAATCGACTCACGACAGCTGATGAACCCAGCCGGGTAGAAGCCAGAGACAGAGTTTGTTGGTTGGTTGGTTAACTAAGTACTGAGCAATATTCCAGCTTTTGGACGGCGGTCTGTAGATAATCGAGTCTGGACCAGCCAGTCCAGTGATTGACATCATGAACATCGACCCACGCAAATGAGATACGATGACATGCATCAACTAAGTTAACGTGTCTGACCAACCGACCCCGTTAGTCACCTCATCCGACAAGCATAGGTGCCTTTTACGGCAAGCATGGGTTGCTGAAGACCAATTCTAACCCGGATCTTCACGAGTGCCAGAGTGTAGTGCCTCTTCATCCGTTTTAGTGTTATACTATTAATGTAGGCATTTGTCCATCAGTCCGAGGTCTATACCATTTTATTTCAAAGTTGAAAGTAGTACTGAGAAAATCACTGGTGCATAAATGTGATTGTTTAACACTGTAGGCATTTGTCACTGTCAGCATTAGTATTATCCTGGCCCGAGTCCTCACAGGGTGTGTATGCATGTAGTGTCGGGATAGGTCCCTGTCAGAACTACGACAGTCAAGCGATGAGAACATTTCGCAGTTTACAAACACGTAATGTTACATAGGCCCTGCTGATCTATACATTATAATTACTTGTTTTTAACGCCTACAGCAAGGAAATGCGATAATTAATTACTGTAAGTGTGTGTGTGACCACGTCCTGGGGGCTTGACGTCGCCTCCAAGAGTAATACATGCACGTGTGCGAGTGTGTGCGTGTGTGCGTGTGCGTGTGCGTGTGCGTGTGCGTGTGCGTGTATGGTTCCGTGTAGTAGTCCCGACTAATGCTGTTTTATAGTGTTGACCCTAGTGAGATATCATTCCGCAGTTTACATGGATACAACACAGACATCGTAAGAGGCGACTAACGGGATCGGGTGGTCAGGTTCGGTGACTTGGTTGAAGCATGTCATCGTATTCCAATTGCGTGGATCGATGCTCATGATGTTAAGCAGTGGATTTTCTGGTCCAGACTCGATTATTTACAGACCGCCGTCATACAGATGGAATATTGCAGAGTGCGGCGTTAAACAACAAACAAACAAACAGATAGGGTGTGTGTGTGTGTGTGTGTGTGTGTGTGTGTGTGTGTGTGTGTGTGTGTGTGTTTTCCGGCATATACTACGTAACATATATTTTTTTATTGTACATGTATACACATTAAGAGCGATATATTGGGCAAGTGTGTAATGCATACGTCACAAACTTGATATATTGTATACACCAATTAGCTCAGTGAGCTTGAAACTGAAACTGAATCAGATTTGCTATTGCCAACGCTAATCACACAAAATGTATATGTAATGCCCACAAACGTCAAAAAGAACGTTTTTGTTAGGAAACATTTATATTGTGAGCAGCCTCTTACAAAATGGAATCACAACTTTAAAATCATTATGGATGCTGTCGAAGCATAGGCCCAAAAAATGACAAAAAGAGACGAGGAAGCTGTTGAAAGTCTTCCAAAGTGGTTTGAGTCAACGTATGATGTCCTTGGTAGAATGGACAACCTGAAAAAGCGGAAACACAATGGGAATAAACCCACTCTGTCCCAGCCAGCTTTCATCCAAAGTCTGACATGCTCTACATGAAAAGTTTGCAGTTGTTCCAACTGACAAGGCTTCAAATAACGTAACCATTATATGTAAGAGTCACTACAGTGATATTGTGTGATCAAAGAACAATGTATAAGTGGCATTCCAAATAATATAACATGTTAAGCCAGTGTGTTAAATGAGTTGAAATCTGCCAAAACCACGCATCATTACTATCAACTTTTGACTTTTGAAAACCTAAAGACATGTCCATTACTCATTTGTGCTGGATTCCAAAGCTCCATAAAAGTGCGTACAAAGAGCGATATATTGCTGGGTCACGCAAATGTACCATCCAATCCCTGTCTCAAACACTAACAATAATCCCTAATGCAATCAAGGAAAGACTTTCATTAATGGAATTCATATCATGTGGATTCTCAAAATCTCAAAAGATTTGTTTGCATTTTTGCAATCTAAAAAAGAAGAAAGTTTATTTCTGTCAAATTTTTTTTTTGATATTTGCACACCATTATTCCACATGATAAACTTTAGGAAAAACTTCATTCCATGATACATGAGGCATTTATTATTAAATATGTTGACCACAGATATAGTTAGTTACATGTCTATCTTCAGAGCGTCAGGCCAATTTGTCAAGCATTAACGCTAATGTCATTTGACGTTTACTGAGAAAACATAGGTGAAATGCTGGACTTCCTCATTGATAACGTACATGTAGAATATGGGGGTAAGAGATTTACTCAAGAATTAGGCATCCCAATTGGAAGCAATTTTTCTCCTCTTCTTGCTTATCTGTTCCTTTATGCATATGAACAGGAATTTCTGCTCTGATTGGCAAAGTCAAAACAAAGCAAGTGTAACTAAAGCTTCAGGTTTATCGATGATCTGATATAGCCAATTCGCTTTTATTGATTTACTCACCTGAACTAGAAATTAAGGAGACCAGTGACTCCGCCTCGTCTATTTCATATTGCGATCTATACATAAAGATTCAGTGTGACAAAACACTCTCCACGAGACTGTATGACAAGAGGGATCACGACTTTCCAATAGTTAACTTTTTCTTTATATTGAGCAATATTCTACCAACCCCCGCCGTTGGTGTCTTCAAATTCACAATTAAAAGTACAATCGAGCATGTTCTTTGCACGAAGATTTCAAAGAGCGTACCACGACTCTAGCACAGAATCTCCATAACTATCAGGGCTAAAAGACCCCAGTAAAGCTTTCAGAAAGGTTTATAACCAACAATTACAAAAGAAAAGTTATCAACATGCTCCTGGGCTGAAACCTGGTCATTTTATTCCTCATTGTAGGTCTACAGTATTTTGAAAGGAAAAGTGACCCGTGAAGATCCGCTGTAGAATAGGTCTTCAGCAACCCATACTTGCCGTCAATGTCAATCACTGGTTTGTCTCGTCCAGACTCGATTATTTACAGACCACCGTCATATAGCTGGAATATCGCTGAGTGCGGCGTTAAACAACAAACAAACAAACGATAAGAATAAAGTGAAGAATGACTTTCCTTTCAACTCCATAATTTAAATAGACATCAAGATAGCCTATATATTCCATTTCAATATCATCATAATTTGTCAGTTATCCATAAGTCCATATAAATAAAGAATATGTAGTATATATATATGAAAGATTTCTTATCACTATTTAAAGGGGGACAAAGCAAAATATCTCAGTTTGTCGCATTGTACAAACTGCATCGTCTTGACCTGCACTTGAAAGGGACACAAGGCTATGGTGCATCGTCTTGACCTAAACTTGAAAGGGACACAAGGCTATGGTGCATCGTCTTGACCTACACTTGAAAGGGACACAAGGATATGGTGCATGGTCTTGACCTACACTTGAAAGGGACACAAGGCTATGGTGCATCGTCTTGACCTACACTTGAAAGGGACACAAGGCTATGGTGCATCGTCTTGACCTACACTTGAAAGGGACACAAGGCTATGGTGCATCGTCTTCCTTTCATTGCCGACCCTTTCGACCCTACAAGCTACGTTTGATGTAGAATCAATTGTAACGCGGTATACCCTGTGCAGAAACCCAAGTAATAAGAAAATAATAGAAAATGACATTTTGGACAAAACGACATTGCCTCTATGGTTCGTGTTTGTTGATTTGACACATGCATCAGAGATGAGAGGCGATAATAAGTGCTTAACTAGCAATGTGCTTACACACTAGTATTTATTTGTTCTTCGGAACCTGTAGTGCAAATATGGTGGACGAATATGTCTTTGAAAGTCCGCATTTGTACACCGTTGTGAACAGTGTTTCAGTACCTGCACGGCGGGCCAGCCTTTTGGATAAAACAACAAAGTGACGCAGATTGTCGAGTTCCCATTTAGCCGAAACCCAGGTACATTGTATGCTGCTGACAAACTTCGACACATTACCAGGGCGTATTTGAGACACGAACCAACTACAAGGAGACCAATGTAGGACTAGTGGAGCCAACCTAGATCGTAAGGTTATCTGTATCAGGATAACTCATTACTGATGAAACCCGTGACGAACCGGGTAGAATTGGTCTTCAGTAACCCAATGCATGCTTGTCGTAAGAGGCGACTGACAGGATCGGGAGGTCAGGCTCGATGACTTATCTCAATTGTGGAGATCGATGCTCATGATATCAATCACTGGGTTGTTTTGTCCAGACTCGACTATTTACAGACCGACGTCATATAGTTTGGATATTGCTGAGTGCGGCATTCAACGACAAACAATTGATCAAATGTTCTTCGAAACTTCTATCCCATAGTGCAAATATGGTTGACGAATGACGTATGGAAGAAAAGAAAAATATCTCTTTGAAAATAGGCATTTTTTAACCGCTGTGAACAGTTTTTCAGTTACATCATGTGTGAGCATATTAGAGAAAACGCGAAAGTGACGCAGATTGTAGAGTTGCCATTTAGGCGAAACTCTGTTACAGTGTATACTCCTGACTTAAAAATGACTATAACAAAGGCGATTACACGACCATCAAACCCTTGCACGACGAGTTGGTCCACCTTAGATCACAAGGAAATTTATAAGGGGATAACACATTACCAACGAAAACTGTACTAGATTCTTAAAAAACAACTCCAGTCAATGATTATAATCAATATTTATTCCCTTCAGCAGCATGTTATATGTTATGCAAACAGTAAACATGGAAATACACACTAGTCGTTTTAATTTCTGGATAACAGAAGAAAGAAACGTTCTTATATATACGTTCGTATACACACTGAGAAACGCTGGCGAGGTATATTAAATGCTGTGAATTCAAAACTCTGTAAAATAGCCTGATTTTTAATAATAATACGCTTTCTTGCGTTTTATAAAACATGTCTATAAGTCATAACAAGGTAAACTGCGAAATTGTGTTCACTGAATGACATAAATATATTTTAAAGAAATATCTTTGATTTAGTCAACGGACACGTTGATCAGGCCTCCTTATTTGCCAGAACCCCTCTCGGAAGTGATTTGAACAGGTGAGGGCAGCATGGCAACGTTTCCTTTGTTCACAGAAATGCCATTGGCTACCAGAGCCAGAGCAACGTCGTTGTCAACAGATTTGTTGGTGACCTCGCTGTGGGATGCGAACCTCCCGGTTACTTGAACTTCACAGAGGGTCAAGAGATCATTGCTGTCAACCATACTGGTTTTCCGGATCTGGATGTAGCGGGCTACAGTAGGCTGGTTGCAGTTGACGGTTGTGTCAGCTCCTGCGGCGACGTTGCCAGTGATGGTGCCGCACAGTTTAGGGTACTCCAGGTACCGGAAGGGGTCTTTCAGAAGTGTACTGACGTTGATGTTGCGCAGGCGTTCGGCTGAAACATTAACAATTATTTTTATTCCACATTGACGGACGTGTTAGTCTTCAATTAAGGGGATGAAAATAATTTGGAGCATACGCCGTTACTTTCAAAATGGTCAGACTTTATTTATTCTATGCATTGGTATACCTATATAAGACTCGTCAGTTAAAAGTATTTTAAGTATGACACTTGTCTGCAGTTTTACAACGGCCTAAATCGTCGGATCTCACCAACAAGTCTTCTCTGACGTGTGTGAGTGAGTCAGCCAGTGAGTGAGTGAGTGAGTTAGTAAGTTTCAACGCAGGTTTAAACATGTTGTTGTAACTGACATTAAATAATAAATTATTTTATTATTAATAACAGATGTTTCTAATTGCATATAACATTTTGAAACAGATATAACGTCCCCCTTAAACAGTATTTTTGTCACATCACGACGTCAGCTTAGTGAGGGACGGTGGGGTAGCCAATTGGTTAAAGCGTTCGCTCGTCACGCCGCAGACCAAGGTTTGATTCCCCACATTGGTAGAATGTGTGAAGCTCATTTCTGGTGTTCCTCGCCTTGATATTGCTGGAATATTGCTCCAATCGGTGTATATAATCGGATCGAGGGACGGGATTCGAAAACACGATCATCTGATCCTGGCACGACGAAGGGAGATAATACTTCACACTTAATCACAGCGTGTTCATGCCACTGGGCCATAGTCTCCTATAATTGCGGGGATTGATTACATCGACATTGTACTTACCACAGCAGTCGCCCCTGTTGGTGATAATGACGGAGTTGATGTAGTAGTAGGCGCCGAGGTCGATGTATAAGGTGGGATTTAAGTCACCAGTGGCGCTGGAGTAACAGCTTCTTCCGGTGACGAACTGGTTGTCAAAGTTGCCGTCAACAGCTAGGCCAGGGGAGGCAATCAGGTTGGCGGCCTCGAAATTAAACTGCGAGGTAGCGCGCACTGGGCGATTCAGGGCGACGTTGGTTGTTGGTGGAATATTAGGGTCTGAAATAAACAATTTTTGCCAACATTTTAACTTCCGTGAGCAAAACTAAATTTATTTGGTTGTGAAATTTACCAATAGTTGCAAAAACTACAGAAAGCAGTTACGGAGGAGGTTGGCGTGGTGAAACTGTGATCGAGTCGGTCCAGTGATTTACACCATGAACATCGAACTGTGATCAGGAGAAAAAGTTTTCACTTTGCGGAGCTTAGAATCCCGAGTTCAAATAATTCTGTGACGTCAGGATCAATGTCAGAATAGGTTAGAATAGACTCCCGTCGCATTCGTCGGTCATAAGTGGCGATCTAATTAATGGAGTTGTCAGACTCGGTGACTTGGCTCATAATTTCAATCACTGGATTGTCTGCACCAGAGTCGATTCTTTATAAGCCGACAACATACAGCTGGAATATTGTTGAGAGCGACGTTAAATAGAAATACCCAAAATACGCAATTATTCATGCGCATGACAAGCCTATAGCATATATACATTTATGTAAAGGCTATTCTTGTATATGCATATGGCAATATTTGTATGATAATAGCACACAGGATTCATCACATTACTCACGGTAAAAGTTGCCACCGGAAACAACGACCTCGCAAAGTGTGAGCGGGGCGGTGGCAGAGGGCTTGCTGATTCGGAGGTAGCGTCCAGTGGTCAAAGGAGAACATGCGAGTCCGATTGACTGACCAAGGGCCACCCCGCCACTTAACGTTGTGCACAATTCAGGCGTCTCAGCGCTTGTAGTAGGATTCATCTCAAACACCTCGACTCTCAAACCACTCAGTCGGTCAGCTGAAATGAAAGAAATACATGATGATAACAAACTGCCGGGCACATGAGATTCGGCCATGAATTTGGAAAATACCAGATTCTGATTGGTAAATCAGAGATTATCAAATCACAATAAACCCCATCTGATTGAAATAGCCGATTTGACGGCCGTATAGCCGCGGAAGCTTATAGCTATAGAAGAGTACTTTTTTCAGTTATTGTCAGGCATATTTAAATAATCATATGTGCAGTTATAGGCTACAAAATGCAAAGATGCCGGTACTATAATATTCAAAGAAAGTGTGGCAATACATTTCGTGCAGAAAACACAATTATCTACAAAAAGAATGAATTTAAAGCATTAGATTCCAATTCAATTTAATGCGGTTAAATCTACAGGTGCTCCACAGAGCCCTACATTGAAAACACGGTATGTTTATTTCCAAGGTATACACTCTTGATTGGTGGAGTCTAAAAATCAAACAAACAAGTGCAAGACACTTTATAAAACACAAACTCTTGAAGTGCGGTGGTATTTATTTGGACTGAGGGTTGTGTTTTCTTTGTTTGCATTCTGGCGAATAATGTTTGTTTAATTCATGCATACTATAATGAAAGATCAGGTAAATGTCTGTCCACATTACGGTGAGTGAATTATTGGTTTTACTGCCGCCTTACACTATTTCAGTAATATCACGACGTGTCAGCTTGGTGTGGGAGGAAAACCCGAAGCGATGCATTTCTCAGACGTTTACCGCTTTAAAGAAACACAGGAGCCCACAAAGCTAGAAACATAATCGGGTCAATCCCCATTACAAATCATGGACTGAGATAAACGGATACTCGCACAGGCAAGGGACCCTACTTTTTAAAAAAAAATTTTTTTTATTCAATTCAGTATAAGATATTACAGAGTTATACATTGAGTATACTGTGGTATACTCATTAAGTATAGGTTACAAACCTATACAGCAGACAGCAAATCGGCACTACTTCTTTACTGATGCAACGGTAACACACGAACATAAAGAAACATTACTGTCTACGCATTCGCTAAGCCGGACGATGTTACTGGAAACGCTATGGTTCAGATAAACGGGGTTCGTATAATGTATATTTGTTACCGAAATAAACAGATGGGATTTTCAAAATGGGATAATCTTCGAGATAAGTCGTATTTCGAAACACTAGGCTGTTTAATACATCACATTAACTTACCGCAACAGTCGCCTCTGTTGGTGATGGTGACGCCTGAGACGTAGACGCGAGACCCCAGGTCCACGTACCAGAAGGGGTTAGGATCTGTCGCCACATCAGCGCTGGAGAAACATGAGCCGCCAAAGAAGTTGGAGTTGAAGTTGCCGTCGACGGCGAGATTAGAGTTCGCGGTGAGGGGGGGCACACCGTTGACGAAGACGCTGCTGGAGCCGGTGGGGCGGTTCTGCGCGATGTTGGAGCCTAAAGGTTCAAGGAGATGATATGTGTTAAAACGCAGTTTTATAAGAATTAATTCAATATCAGCACATATGCATTAGAATCAGGCTAGAACGCCAATACATAATTAAATGGATTTTACGAAGGAACCGTGATTCAGTTATCACACTTGTTAATCCGGACGTTCTCACAAGGAACCGCATTACCAGGATTTACAGGATTAACAGAGCTCAGCGTACTAAAAACATGTTAGAAAGTACTTGACGATACGGAAAGGCATACTTTCCAATACGTCGGCTCTATAATTGTATCTAGTAGTTAATGTAAATCTTAAACTTTCGGATAAATTTATGTCAAATCTTCACTTCCTACTTACCGAAGTTATTGGCGCTTGCCACTGCTACGAGAGCTGCTAAACACACGACGAAGACCATGGTGGATGAGGTAGCGATCGAATGATGGTTGGACCTGAAACTCGAGGCTTATATACGAATAGACAGTAAATGCAAATTACTTATTATGTAATGCAAGGTAGGGTGATCAGCAAATCAATGTCTCGGGGTTTTCGGTAATGTACAGGCGCGTCAATGAGAGAGGGCTGGGAAGAGCCCGCGGACAAATCACAGTATTCACGTTGTCAGATTATGCTAATTATATCCAGCGGGTAAACTGTGTTTGATTATATTTATTCAGCACTGACGACGCATGATAACTGTGATTACACTGATAGTAATGTTCGCATACGTAAACTTACGTACGTTTTCTATTGCAACGTTCGTAAAGCTACCGTGAACGTTCCCACACCGTCACGCCTGTAGATCTTTCTAGCACACTCTTTTTCTCTCATCAGGCAAAACATGAAATAATTCTCTGGCATCTGTCACATTTAATCCAACGCATCAGTTTTGAGGAAGAATGGGGTGTGTTTTAAGTTCTGGAAACTAAGGATGTAGTTGAAGTTGAGAAAGTAGAGATATGTTTGACGTTTGAGAGAGTAGGGATGTTTTTTAAGTTTGGGAAAGTAGGGATGTACTTTAAGTTAGGAAAGTAGGTATGTGCTTGAAGTTTGAGAAAGTAGGGATGTGATTGAAGTTTGGAAAAGTAGGGATGTGATTGAAGTTTGGGCAAGTAGGGATGTGTTTGATGTTTGGGAAAGTATATGTGTTTTAAGTTTGAGATTTGAGAGAGTTGAGATGTGTTTTTAGTTTGGGAAAGTAGGGATGTACTTTAAGTTGAGAAAGTAGGGATGTGTTTGAAGTTTGAGAACGTAGCGATGTGTTTTCAGTTTTAGAGAGTTGGGATGTGTTTAAAGTTTGAGAGATTAGGGATGTGTTTTATGTTTGGGAAAGTAGGGATGTGTTAACTTTGAAGTTTGGGAAAGTAGGGATGTCTTTGAAATTTGAGAAACTAGGGATGTGATTGTGCAATTTTATAGCACATGCATATGCAAGTAAATGTCGATGGTTTTGGGATTATAAATATCTTGTAGTTATTTTTGTGTCCTTTTATTTTTACATTTGTTTCAAATACAGACATTGTGCAATGGAAGTATAACTAAATAACACATAAGGCGTGTTTAAGTGTATGAGTATTACTTCATAGTACATAGGCAACATAAGGCACAAGTATTTACTTTCTACATTTATTAAATATTCTACATATTTTGTCCTTGTAGCTATTCAGTGCTTAATTTAAAGATTACAGGTATGTTTATCATATCAAAGTTTCAAACTTCCCAACACTCAAAACTTCAGCTGCTTTTAATTGACCCCAATGCATTTTGAATTCAACCTTTTCGTAGCAATGTGTGATTTTTGACAATTAATGTCATCATGTCTGGTCATATTCCTTCTCCACCAGCACAAGGTGACGTCATTTATTGGCCAGTCTGTCTAGATAAGTCAACAGTTACAACGCTTCATGTGAACCCAATCTTCCTTTAAGATGTGGCGATAAGACAAATGATAACCAGGGCTTTCTGTACAAGCATTTTAGTCACACTACGACGCATTAAAAAGATCGCAAAATTTCAAACTGCTGCGGATTATTCGTGGACTTTTGAGAAACTAATTACCCCTTTCTTGAACTAATTAGTTTTGTTGCCCTCGGGCGTCGGTACAAGCGTCGTGTAGGATGAGGTATGTGTACTCCAACGTGTAAACATGGGCTAAGATTAACATTTGAATGTGTTTCGCCATTATTCCTCCTTGAATCTTATATAAAATTAGATAACTAGAACAAATATTGAATTACCTACAATGTATGCTATAAGACACGGTTGTCTGAGGGGCAGGAATGTCCTGCGTCCCTCAGACGTGCCAGAAGCCTGTTATCGTGGATTTTTATTTCGGCTTGTCCTGATAATGCTTTTGGGTTTGTCATCAATGTATCCGTGCTCCAGGGTTTCACCAATGTGGTAAACGTCTGAGATCTGCACCAAGCTGACATGCCATGATATAACTGATATACTGTTAAAAAAAATAAAAGCGACAAACCCCTTTCCATGCATATTCAATAGAACTCTGGACTAGAGTCGATTGTACGATTCCGGCTTCGAGTATATCATGAGCTTGTGTTTCTGAATCACAATCAAATAGTGATGATACCAGGTGTTCGCGAAAAGGTGAGCATACCCTGCCACACCAGTTGCACCCGTCACAAACACATGCAAAGGCAAGTCAATTGTTTACCTGACAAAACACGGGAACATATGACACAAGTCAAAATATGGAATTGCATCAGGCATCATATTTGTCACTGATGCGTCAATATTGGAAATGTCCTCCACATGTCTACCATAAAACGTTTTGAAAGCTTTACTGAGGCCTTGAATGTTGTAACCTTGATCAAACAAATTCTGAGCAAGAGTCGTATGACGCTCTTTGAAATTTGGTAGATTGAATCTTGGTAGTTGTGAAATGTAAACACCAAAGGCTGGAGCTGCTGAAAATTGCTCGACCTCAAGGGAAAATTGACTATTGGAAAGTTGAAGTCATCCCTATGTGTCACACAGTCTTTTGGAGAGTGTTTTGTCTGAGTGAGCACATGTTCGTAACTCGTTCGATGAACAGGAGAATCCGAGCTGAAAAAGACTAATGTAATTAGTGTATCGCGAAATCGATCTCAAATATCTACCAAATTATGCTGCCTCGGGGAATGGTAACAAGATACGATTATATTGTGATAATATCATGGGGCACTTTCCTGATAGGCAGGTGTCCTTGGGTGGGAAGTGTTCCGAGGGCATGTGGCCTGGGGGTAGACGTCCTGGGGACTGTAGTCCTGATAGCAACTGTTACACTTGAAACCTTTGACCTGAACCATGTGAAGTACCCGTGAGCTAAAGATTTTGTTTTGTTTATGTGTTTGTTGTTTAACGCCGCACTCAGCAATATTTCAGCGGTCTGTAAATAATCGAGCCTAGACCAGACATTCCAGTGATTGACATCATGAGCATCGATCCACGCGATTTGGATCAATGAAATTCATCAACCAAGTCAGCGAGCCTGACCACCCGATCCTGTTAGTCGCCTTTTACGACAAGCATAGTCGCCTTTCACATGGGCTGCTGAAGACCTATTCTACCCCGGACGGGTCCATGAGCTAAAGAACGTCGAGATCGTGTTTATTATATGTGATCACTGCAGATATGGTTTCCTCATTTACAGGCCATGTCAAATAATTACGGACACGTCAGAGTTGATGATAGTAAAGCATCGCACTTTGGGCCTTGGTATTGTGGAAAGGAAATGTTAAGAATCATTTTCTCATCAAGAGAATAAGCTGCTCGAGGATACCTTACACATCAAATCAGATCAGTGATGTGAGTAAGTGTATGTTGATTAACGCCGCAGTTACACATTGGCGGTTCAGGTTACAGATGGAGAAAGGGATGCAGGTCTTAGACGCTTACCACATTGGCGAAACTCACAAACACAGGTGTAATGCCGACAGAACAAGAAGCATAATCGCCATTTCAGAACACCCGATCCATTAAGATACCAACATAGGGCTATAAGGAACCACAGCAAGGCCACAAGACCAACAAACACATGCTCATGAGACAACTGAAATATCAATATGCACTACGTTTTGACACATATATTAGAGATCGGATAACATTATAATCAATATAGTGTTTCCAAAATGAAGAAAAAAGCAGGAAAAAGCGGAAAATCCTCTCCATAACCATAAACAGTCTCAATGTACGATTCCGACTATGTTATCAGCATACGTAATTAATCACAATCAAATAGTAATGATACCAGGGGTTCGGGGAAAGGTAAGTGTTATCCTGGCTCACAGGTGGAATCCGTACGATTAATTAATCGTTAAAATATCAATTTTAACAACATCACTCGATGAGAAGTAGAAACAATGAAAACTTATTCCACTTTAAGAAAAATATATTTTTAATGAGTTTTAAGATATATTCTGTATTGAAACCTCAGAAATTACTTTCTCCGCCACGTATAGCACCTCTCTCGTAAATGCACACATTTTATTCTGACATCACTAAATATACAAGAAGTTCGCAAACTTTCTCTCAATCCTTGACATAAATATGAAATAAACAACTAATATGTGATTTATTTATACTCCTGCATACCCTCATGGTATATGAGCCAGTGTGTTCTCTCGCCATTGATTCTCTTATGATTTGTTATGTTTAAGGTAATACATTGTAAATAATCATAACTAATTACGTATGTATGAATAATCAATGAAAGACATGTATGTGAAATGTGCATTACTTTATATCTAATTATTTTGTCAATTTTTTAAACTTTTCTCTTTTACCAATGCGGGTGGTTTCTCAAGAATAATTTGAGCTGAGATGAGTTAGCACATAGAAATTACTGTGTTAAATTCAGAATACCCGAATTTAGAAATGCATCTGGTATTTTGCGAACGCCACGTAAGACTAAAAACAGAAAAAAATATTTGCATATAGCGTACTGTTTTCCCTATAAAACTGTTACGCCCTGTGATAATTGATCATAAAAAATGTAAAATATATTCGTTTAGTGTCCTGTCAGTGTTGTGTTCGTGTCCGGAATCTGTCGTGAAAGCATTGTGTTTGTATCGAAACTGTCTTGTGATTGTGATGTGACATTGTTGTGTGACTGGTGGTTTTCTTGTGATAGTGTCGTGTAAACGTTATGTTATGTAGGTTATTAGGTTACATTGTTAACAAATTGAAATTGGCGCACATATACTTTGCAACCTTTAACCCAACACTGAAGTTGCTACCCTCACTGTGCGATTACACTGAAGATGCAATCAACCCTATGTCCTTTCCTTCAAGATGCTACCAACAGTGTGCCCTTACATTGAAGATGAAACCAACCCTATGTCCATGCCTTAGGATTCTACCCACACTGTGCCCTAACATTGAAGATAAAACCAACCCAATGTCCTTTCCTTCAAGATGCTACCCACACTGTGCCCTTACATTGAAGATGAAACCAACCCTATGTCCTTTCCTTCAAGATGCTACCCGCACTCTACCCTTACATTGAATATAAAACCAACCCTATGTCCTTTCCTTCAAGATGCTACCGACACTGTGCCCTAACATTGAAGATAAAACCAACCCAATGTCCATACCTTGGGATTCTATCCACACTGTTCTCTTACCTTGAGATGCTATCATCAATGTGCCTTACACTGAAGATACTAACCCTATTGAAGTCCTTTGCCACATTAATAATGAAGGTTTACTCAAAATCAATAGGTCCATTATAGCTGTCTGGAAACGTTGCAAATATTCCAAATAATTCATTTAGTTATTTAATTAGTTAATCTATTAGAGGGTTGTTTACCTTTTTACATACAAGGTGTAATAAAAAGACAACACAATAACGTTGAACACTTAAACATTTATATGTCAGTATTTTCTCCACAAAGACAGTTATGGATGCATTTATATTTTTGAGAATATTCCCTTAAATGTTTACAATAAATGATACAGCACAAGTCGCCTTCATTGTTAAGATCGGATATAATATAAGGGTAATGCTATATTCTGAGGCATTTGTATTTGCAGAAGTCAGAATGCTGCCGTTGATGAGTAAGGAAACATTTAACGTCTCATCGGCAGCATTCCAACCATATAGCGACGAGAAAGGTTTATATATGTACAAGTACAGCATAAATACAAAGTTCATTTAAAAGCAAATTTGACAAACATATTTTTGCATAAGGAAGAAAATTTATGGATGTCATAAGGAGTATGTACTTATGCCTTCCACCTGATGAAGGCGTAAAAGTATAGACTGCGAAACGTTGTGTTCCTCATAATAAGAAGCTGACATCAATAAATTCTCTTCCTTATGTGTATCACTCCTAAATGCCTATCAAAGACCTCATATTTAAACATAAAAAAAGAATATTTACAACTATTTGAAACACGGGCTATAAGCCACCAACAACCAAAGCTAGACCACCTCACTGGGGATCATAGGGACTAACGGGAATTCTGCAATGAATTGCCCGATGAAGGACGTCATTTGAACAGACTGACTGCTTCTGCAAATAATAATCCACCCCCCCAAAAAAAACCACCAAAAACCAAACGCTGTCGTTTTTGTATTATAATGGATAGAACATGATAATATCCCTAAATGAACTCCATTAAAAACAAACAAAAGTTCATTCACACCAAGAACACAACAGAGGTCAATGTTACATGAATTACGTCACGATAACTTGCGTGACGACCATGGCTAACATTTTGCGAGCTATTCGAAGCTGAGTTTGCTGGACAATGACGTCTTAATTGATATTACAATCAGTGCCGTCATACACACTTTACAGTTATATAAAATCGGTAATAACATGATGGAATACATAAACCGGTAACACTAATAGGACATTACAGATGACAGAGATATACAAGTATCACTTAAGATGCATTGAGAAGGCTGGCGTCCATTTCTAAAACTACCCCTCGCAATGCTGGAACACTACCTTTCAGAAAAAAAACCACGTTGCTATAGTTAAACCCCATTGTTCTGGTCCACCATACGTTCCCATCATCAATGTAGATATTCTGAACATGTTTTGTTTCCAAATACGTTGAAAGCATGAACAGGTTCATAATCTAAACATGTTTAAGTCATGAAATTCAACATAATTCTAAACAGTATATAATTATGATTAGGCATCTAAATGTGGTTAGATCATGAAACTCAACATAATTCTAAACAGTATATAATCATGATTAGGCATCTAATTGTGGTTACATCATGAAATTCAACATAATTCTAAACAGTATATAATTATGATTAGGCATCTAAATGTCACAGTGGTTACATCATGAAATTCAACGCAATTCTAAATTGGATAAAACCATGAATAGGCATCTAATTGTGGTTATGATCATACATGTATATATGACATTTGCTTAATATGTACATGATCGGGGCCACATGGGCAGTCGTCAAGAGCGCCGCAATGCCCTGTGCATTGCGTAAGACCCAAACCTATGATCTTGTCTACGAAGCCCAGATCGACCTGATTCTGTTTCTACGTTCGTCAGCACCATATCCGTGCTCGTGGGTTCACCAAAGTGGCATACGTCGGAGACAAACACCACTTCGGGTTTTCCCCACATACCAAACTGACACATCGCGATATGACTTAAATTCTATTCAAAGCGGCATTGAACCAACCTCACTCACTCCCAATATCTGATCCTTAATCTTTTGTTTAGAAGGGGAAGTTTCCAGTACTGATCAATGAGGTGAGCTGCATTATAATTGTTTCACAAAGTCTGAATGGTCTGCGGACGGTTGCCCTGAGGGCTGTCAACACCGAATGAAACGGCGACAATATTCAAGTCGTGCGGAAAGTCGTGTTTTTTGCAGTATCCTCAAAGTAACAAATAGTATATTTGGGATTATACTTAGTAAGTACAACTTTTAGCACTTTTGTTGGGAGAGACCCATCCTGGGTTGGAACCCACACACTCAGAGTAAAGCTCCTAAGCGATAACACAAACAGGAGAGTGTGGGTTCGAATCCTGGATTGGACTCCACCCCAAAACGTACTAGTATATGTAGAGTGTAAGAAAATGTAATCCCAAATATTTGTAACTTTTGAACACTTTCTGAAAGTCATTGTCTATCTATAAACTGCAAGATATCAAAAGTTGCATATATAGCGAATGAAGGTTCAATACAGGTTAATAACAGGAGACAAAAACTGCTAGAAATATGACCGTGGAAGCTGGGCCTTGGGGCGAGTCTGCTCCGACACGGGGGTCATGTTGGAGGACCACGGTGCAAAGCTTGCTGCTCCGATAGGGGTGTAGTATATCCCTCCCTGATCATAAACCTCGTCTTCTACATCTGTGTATATACCAGATGAACTGGTTGGACGATATGGGTCATCGAAATCCACGGGAGGGTGGGGGTACGGAGGGCGGTGGGTAGGTCTTTGCTTCCAGTGTTGACCCATTTGGTTGACCTTTATCCCATTAACGTGGCGTTTGTTGATGTTGGTTACCTTGGTGGATTTTCTGAAAAATAGTTATTGCATATTTTTTTTAATCAGTGTTTATGACAATAATGAGAGATACACTTACAGGCTTGAAATCCCACTTCATAATGGAACACAGTTAATCCGGGCGGTTGCGTTTTCCTGTGAAATCGGTGGGATTTGCGAGTGTCTGGATAAAAGAATCAGGATACAGACTCTGAGTAATGTCCCTTTATACATGTGGAAACCTTCAGAGCGGTCAGACAGACAGACAAACAGGTTTGTTCAGTATTATGGCCATATAGCCTAAAGTACAAATGATATGACTCAAAATATGTTGTCACGTGAATATACAGAAATTATATCTTCTTGAAATTGATATTAAAACATGTTTTATATTAGTACGCACTGAAAGGATAACATGTTTATTTTGTGAGTTAATAACATTTATCATTAACATTTAAGATTTACAATCATTCTTTAAGAAAGAAAAAATATGTAGAGCTAATTTGGAATACTTGTTACACTTCAATAAGACGTGGAATTCATCAACAATTTCACCTCTGCCCCGATTGGAACATACACTATTAACAATATCAATATAATTTAGATTTACGACACATATCTACATTTAAATTATGTAAAGAAATTCTAAATTTACATAAAGATCTTATTATAGATTTGTCTGGTAAGACACAGAAATACATGTATGGTTGAAGGCAATAATTATCCATGAGGTGGGGTTCCGGATGAACGATGCCCGGAATAATCAGGTTTCACAAATCCGAGAAAAACTACCAACGTATGCTTCATGAGGATGGATAATCCACAAGTTAAGTATCCCGTTTATTGAGACCTACATGTAGTTTATCCCAAACACGTCCCTTTCCGGACGCCAACACATGTACTTGTACTAGCTAGTCCACTCAGATACCCTGCCCAGTTTAACCTTGATAACCCACTCAGACACAGTATACTGACCAAGCAGACTAGTTCTTGTTTTAATGCCTTAATGTCAAGCGCCAGGCAGAGTAACAACAAATACCACCTTTTAACGTCTGGCTGGACGCGATCGAGATCGAACCACCGACCTCCATTCTCCGGGCAGACGCTCTATCCATAACACCACGGAGACGGTCTACCTACCCTGAGAGTTTCTTGTAGATGACAACCGAAAAGAAGAGGATGATCGCAAGTCCCCCGAAAGCAGCAACAGAACCCACTATCATCATTATAGACGTGCCCGAGAGATCCTCCTTCTTTGACGAGGCGGTGCCTGTGGCAGCAGGAAACGTCAAATTATGCCGGAGTCATGGTAACAAAAGACTAATTCATTTGGTAGTTTTGTCATATGAATATTTTCCGGTGTTGTGGTTATTCAGTTCTTTGAATTTGTAATGGTGGTATTTAAAATAAAGTACCCACATTTATATTTTTCTAAACTGAATTTGAATTTATGTGTTTGTATTTTTACACCGCCATATTCCATACACCAGTGCGTTTAGAAATGTTTAGAATCTGATGGGGGTTAGCAACAAAAGCTTACCATAAATATGAACAGAAATAACGCACAATTAGCGATCGCAGATTGAAGTGAGTGAGTAAGTTTTTACGCCCCTTTTAGCAATATTCCAGCAATATCACGGCGGGGGACACCAGAAATGGGCTTTACACATTGTACACATGTCGGGAATCGAACCCGAGTCTTCGGCATGCCGAGCGAACGCTTTAACCACTGGGCTACCCCTCCACCCCGCAGGTTAATGATATACATTAATATCGCATAGAGAAGTTCGATACCCAATGATTGGAGTACATGACATATTGGATTGCATATCGAAAAACACAATTGTCAAAGTAACAGCGATCGAGAAAGTGGATAGTCTAAGGTTACAACAAAAGTTTGCATCTGACCTCCAAGGTTGGTGTCCACTTTTCCGGCAGACCCCGTCGTTGTCTCTTCAGTAAACACCAGAGTCGGTTCAAATTCTGCAAGAAACCTTCAATGTATTTAGCTTGCCTGTAACACAGCATCGTCACACGTATTTATTGAAGTTATCAAATCCAATGGGCCAGTGAGGTCCAAAATACAAATCGAAACCTCAAATTGCATTTTTTTTCTAAACAAACTACCATCTTGTTTGGTTTCGTTACATATGAATGTACACAACAAACAATCCAAGACATCCATCCAGGGGCCAACAGGGCCGACGTCGACGTCGAAGATCAAGACGTCAAACGGTTCAATTTGTTTGTTTGTTTTTCGCCGCACTCACCAAAATCAAGATCTCTCACAAAAATAACTTTCCTGAGAACAAACAAGGTTTGAAAATGCGAAGTGCGAAGTGCAGAAAGATAATGTCAGTTGATTGTCGAGCAGGAGAGTCGGAGTTAGTATCCCAGTCTGGAACACTGACAACATATCTTGATTAACGTCAGAAATTAAGTGAAAGCATTTTCGTTCTGAAAAGTACGGAAGCGTAGTAGGGCCAGGGTGATTTTGGGGGGGTCTAAGTATCTCCTACGAGATAGTCAGTCCTACGTAGGACATAGTAAGTCCTACGTAGGAGATACTAAGTCCTACGTAGGAGATAGTAAGTCCTACGTAGGAGATACTAAGTCCTACGTAGGAGATACTAAGTCCTACGTAGGAGATAGTCAGTCCTACGTAGGACATAGTAAGTCCTACGTAGGAGATAGTCAGTCCACACACACAGTCCTAGAATTTATGGATGAACAACTTGTTTATTACAATTAAAAGCGACGTTTCACTGACTTCACCGATGATTGCCATTACATAACAGGCTTCTCCACTCCAGTATAGGGGAGGTCGGGTAGCCTGGTGGTTAAAGCGTTCGCTCGTCACGCCGAAGACCCGGGTTCGATTCCCGACATGGGTACAATGTGTGAAGCCCATTTCAGGTGTCCCCCGCCGTGATATTGCTGGAATATTGCTAAAAGCGGCGTAAAACCATACTCACTCACTCACTCACTCACTCCAGTATAACTACATCTGACATCTACTCTACTGTATAAACGTTGCCTCCTTCATTTATATATACTTGTCAACCATACTCTGTCGATCACTTGTTTGATGACGGTGTTAGAACCTACACCGAAACGTCGCTCTTAATTGTAATAATGAAGTTCATCCATAAATTCTTATCCTTACTTAATCCACTAAGTGTTATAACAAAGGAAACCAAGGCGTATAAATATTCATACAGAGATTAGAGATTTACCTTCTTCACTTTTCTGTTTGGTCTTTGTGTCTGTGGTGTGAGGATTTGATTCTGTAACTAAAACATCATGAATTAAACTATCCCCGCTATTGTCTTATGCCACTAACACATCTATCTATCTATCTATCTATCCATCTATCTATCTATCTATCTATCTATCCACTTGGGAGATCACGCTCAATATCTCTCACTCACTCACACACACACACACACACACACACACACACACACACACACACACACACACACACACACACTCTCTCTCTCTCTCTCTCTCTCTCTCTCTCTCTCACTCACCACTACAATCCTCCATCAGTGTCGAGCCTAGATAGGGCGTGGTCTTCCCCGCTGGGCAGGGCTGACAGCTGATCTGGCCGGTGAGGTCCTGGTATGTCCCTTTGTCACAGTACCTGCAGGTTCTGCTGCTCTGTTCGTAGTACATGCCCGCGGAACAGAACCCTGGGGACAAACCAAGGAACATCATCATCTCATCAGCATCACTGTTGGATGGGTAATATTACATTAGAACGCTATCCCTGAATCGGATGATCGTTGATCTGAATCGTTGATTCGCCCCGAAACGACCATCAATCTGTATCTATTTGAGTTTTGACGTACTAGTGAATAAAATAGTTTTTAAACCGACCCTGAACCGTTAACTCACCCTTACGTTCATACTCCATGGTAACATACTTTTCAGATGACAATGAATTAAATAAATAGACGAGAAAGAATTAAAATGTTGCTTCCAAGCAATAGGTTCGGAGACAGGCATGTCCGAGAAATAGGCACCCGATATGTTTCATGCCCCAGACAATATAGATTATTTCAAATATTTCTACGCACTTTATATAATTAGAAATAAAAAAAAGTTGTGATGCAATTGCCTTGGTTTAAAAAAATTACATGTGCAATGCTACATCGCTTTGATCGTGAGATCCTTTTTTACTTCCAAATCTATCATCGGAAGACTGATTCGCCCAATGCACATACAGTTTCTCGGTTTACGGACGAAGCTCAGGCTGTATTGGGCGAGAGACTACAGACAATATGTGTAAAACTAATAGTGCACCCAATGTCGGCCGTGTAAACGTCGCAGCCAACAAATAAAACTGAAACGAACATAAAACTGAATGAAATAAAAAAGAACATTATAACGAAATATTACAATAAGTCCTCACCACAAAAGCCACTTTCAGCGATAGACCCTGCAGGACATTCGGTGATGGCCTTGACATTGACCTCCGATCCTATATTGTAGACGATGCTGTTGGTGGATGTCACTTGAAAGATGTCATTTCTGCTCTGAAGTTCACTACCAGTCGTTTCCAGTATTTCTATAGCATTTAAGACACGTTGAAGTTGTACAGAAACTGAAAAAAACAAGAGTAATACATAGTCCCACTTGATTCATCAATGAACACCAACTATTGCTTCTTGAAATATTCGACATATGATACACATAAACATCTTTACTTCAATAAGCTCCATAAATTAGCTTACCTGTATTAGTCGTCATGTAGCCAGCAAGGTCAAGATTACCGACGGGCAGGTCATAGGTTAAATCTACTTTGGCAGATGGTTCGGGGTTTACAGAAGAGCAGTCTGGGACATGGACCGCGGACTTGCAGTCAGGGTCAGCACCACAGGGCAGTGAGTTCATGTTCTGTTCCAGCTGCTGTTTCAGGTCACTGGCTTCTGTTACTGAGAGGCAATCTTCCTTGGTATAACTGACCTCAGCAACCAGGGTCAAGGTCGAAGGAGACGTTACGTCTGGAGAGATGGTCACAGGTATTGTATCAATTTTAACCATTTTTGTTCATCTGATTATGGTTGATATATTCCATTTCATCAATGTCATACCATATAACATAAAATTACGTGGAAAGTTGCACCTCCTTGAGATCGCTACATTATTTGTTTTTTGTTTGTTGTTTAACGCTGCACACAACAATATTCCATCTATATGACGGCGGTCTGTAAATAATCGAGTCTGGACCAGACAATCCAGTGATTGACATTGAGATCATCGATCCAACCAATTGGGAAATGATGACATGCATCAGCCAAGTCAGCCGCCCGATCCCGTGAGTCGCCTCTCACGACAGGCATAGTCGCTTTTTACGGCAAGCATGGGTTGCGGAAGACCTATTCTACCCCGGATCTTCACGGGACGCTACATTATTTGAGTAATGTTGATCGGAAAGACGTAGCAGTGACACAACCACAGAGAGGTTCACCGTACATATTCAGCCCATAACATACAGTGGAGAGTGAATGTTAATTTACGCCTCAGTCAAAATGTCACGATATATTCGAGTTAGGCCAATCACAACAGTAGTTAAAAGTTAAAAACAGCCCTATCATCAGAGCATACATTCAGATAGATCACACATTGTAACCACTCAATGCTCATTACGTGACGCTTACAACAGGTCCCTCATGACGATACATGTCAGAATTAGTCTTCAGACACCCGTGCTTGTCGTAAGAGGTGACAGACGGGATTTAGGGGTCAGGCTCTATGACTTGGTTGATGCATGTCATCGTTTCCAAATTGCACGGATCGATGCTCATGATATCATTCACTGGATTGTCTGATCCACATTTAATTATTTATAGACCGCCTTCACATACCAGTAACTGGAATATTGCTGAGTGCGGCGTTAAAGCAAACGAGAATTGTTGAGTTTGGCGTTCATCAACAATAAAAAATCTGAAAAGTCAATTTGGTTTCCCCATGTTGTTTCTGACCATAGCTGCCCCTCACCTGTGCAAGACGTGAGGGTGGCACTCGGTGTCCAGACCCCCTCCCTGCAGGTGAAGAGAGTGACCTGGGCAGTGGATGTGAAGTACCCAGGGAGGCAGACAAGGCTACAGTTCAGCTCTGCCTCAGTACCGTTACAATCTGGACCAGTCGGGCTGTTGTACTTGCCTTGTTGTAGCTGGCTCACACTGCAGACTGAAACACAAGCTGAAGGTTAAGTACATAGTAATATTAAACACTATGGATCGTGAAAACGCAAGAAGGTGCCTTGAAATATTTCATACAGAGCACTCAGCTATGTGGAATAACTGTATGCATGTAACTATTTTATCATTCACTATTTGGATCACATCTCATTCAACACTTTGGGCGGTCGGGTAGCCTAGTGGTTAAAGCGTTCGCTCGACACGCCGAAGACCCGGGTTCGGTTCCCGACATGGGTACAATGTGTGAAGCCCATTTCTGGTGACCCCCGTCGTGATATTGATGGAATATTGCTAAAAACGGCGTAAAACAATACTCACTCACTCATTCAACACTTGCATCTAACTGAAGAGCATCGAAAAGCAAAAGAAAGTATACACCCATGTTTGATGGATGCTAAAAGTGAAACAAACAAGAAATGGTTATTCGATGGTGACGTATTTGATACGAATGCCATGCTTAGTGTTCTGGACCTTAATGCGCTGTGCTTCGTGGCTGTTTTCAGCCAAGTGACGTTTTGATAACGTTTGGAATGTTTTGTCAAATTCGATTTTCACGTTTATACTTTCTTTTGCCTCACAGTACAGTTGATTATATGTCAGATTGATATGGTTGAAGTTGATAATTAAGTGAGCGGGTTAAGGAGGAGGAGACACTTTACTGAAGATAGTCAGAAAGGTTAAAGTCTCAGTTTTAATTTGAGGTAAAAAGTCTGAAACCAGATTGAAAGTGTTTCACATTTATTTCTGTTCGTGTGTGAGGCATTTTAAAATATATTGCGAGTGAGTGAGTGAAACTGTTTTAAGGTCGCTTTTTACAGTACATTACAACTATGAAGGCGTGTCAACTTGACGTGGGAGAAGAGAAACGCAGGTCGTCGAGAAGAAACTTGGGACCAAGGGTCATATCCGAGGCGAAAGTACACAATAGTGTACTCTCACAGTTGTGACGTGTGTGTTATCAAAATAGACACCAAAATATTCATCACATTTTCAGTTTGACAAACACATGGAATCAGGTGGACGTTCGGAAAACCGTCTTAATTAAGCTCACACGGAGATTAGGTTCCAATGTTCAGTCTAATCATGTCATTACAACTTAACTTGAAAGATAAAGTCAAGAAGGTACACTGATTAAACTCTAAAACGCATAACACAACTAAAATGTATCTCCGCACGGCTGAGTCAAAGCATTACACGTTTGTGGGTAATGTCAGTGTTCTGGTGCCAAATCCCTTCTCTTGAATGATTCCGGGACCCCGAGGAACCCAAGCTTGTCTAAAAACTGACCAGAAGGAGGATCTGGAAGTTTGTGTTATCTCGCTCATGGCAAGCTAAATGGATGAACTACTTTGAAATACAAGTATGCCTGGCTCATGATACGATTCATTACACATTTTGTAGATGGACATGATATAGATAATATACGGTGACGAAGACACAAGTGTGGATACCTTGACACTCCCCTGTGTTGCAAGCGGCAGACTCGGTGTCTCCCCCAACACAGCTGTCTCCATCGACACCAGGTGGAGGGCTGTCACAAATTCTGGACCGAGTTGTCTCCCCTACTCCACACGTCACTGAACACGTGCCCCACTCAGTCCACTGGGAATACCCACCGTTCACTACGGAGATAACAGAAACAGAGAAGAACGAAATGTAAGGTCACAGAACATTGGCACAGATAAATAAGTTAATATATTCCAATGCTGCAACATGTCGCGTACTGAAGCCAAAAGAGAATGTGTGCTGCACGTCAGCTGGCCTATGTGTGGCCTATGTGTGGCCACGGCAAGCAGCACTAACTGTTGTTTAACGCCGCAGTCAGCAATCTTCCAACTACAACGTAGTAGATGTTCTAGCCGAGACCTGTGACTGTTAGCACTCAATCAGCTACGTCAAAGAGCTGCAACAACGACCCTTCTTCGGTCGACCAACATAGGATCATTCAGGGCCAGGAAGACGACATCCCCTGATCGTCGGGGTCCCTTTACACACCTACTCTGTCATCTACAGTAAACTACGGTTATAACGAACACTAATTTTAGTTCGTTACAACCGTATTTCGTTATAAGCACATATACAGCATAACTACAGCAAATGGTCGGGACAAAAAAGTAGGTTCGTTATATCCGTCAGTTCGTTATAAGCGTGTTCGTTATAAACGTAGTTTACTGTATGTGTGATTCACAGAGCCTCCGCCGATATCACTTTACATACACACACACACACATACACGAACGCACGCAATCACGCACACACTGTAACCAAGCAATGTTTGTCTCACACAGCCTCCCCCGATACCCCTTTACACACACACCCCACACACTGCCACCTACCAAAGTGTGCCTCACACAGCCTCCCCCGATACCCCTTTACACATACACCCCACACACTGCCACCTACCAATGTGTGCCTCGCACAGCCTCCCGGATACCCCTTTACACACACACCCCACACACTGTCACCAACCAATGTGTGCCTCACACAGCCTCCCCGATACCCCTTTACACACACACCCCACACACCGTCACCTACCAATGTGTGCCTCACACAGCCTCCCCCGATACCCCTTTACACACACACACCCCACACACCGTCACCTACCAATGTGAGCCTCACACAGTCTCCCCCGATACCCCTTTACACACACACCCCACACACCGTCACCTACCAATGTGTGCCTCACACAGCCTCCCCCGATACCCCTGGGCACAGATGCAGGTGTAGTTGTTGTCACCCGTTACACACGTCGCCCCGTTTTCACATAGGTTGTCAACACAGAAGTCGGGGGGCACGGAGCAGTCGTCGCCGGTGAAGCCGTTCTGACACACGCAGGAATGGATGGAGCCGTTTTTCACACACAAGTGGTCGTTGCACGGCGACGGATCACATGGGTTTAAAACTGTAATCGGTGAAATGCATAATTATAAACATCCGGGCAGCAAAACGCCTCGTCCAACACACCTTCTACTGTTCCGTTTTAGGCAACATATGTTTTGTCGATGGGAGTGTGTTTGAAGAAGTGAGTTTGCTACAGGACCTACGTCTTTTGAAATTGATATTAACCGGAAAATATTAGCATTACTTTTGCGTAACAGGTACATTATGCTATTACTGAAACAGATTTCTCACAATAGTGACCAAGCCTCCGATTTAACTTCAGACGACAGTTGTTTTGATGTTTGTGTTTGTTTGTAGTTTGTTTGTTGTCTAACGCGACACGCAGCAATATTCAAGGTATATGAAGGCCGTCTGTAAATTATCGAGTCTGGGCCAAAGAATCCCGTGATTGACATCATGAGGATCGATCTACGCAATTGGGATCAATGACATGCCTCTTACGACAAGCATGGGTTGCAGCTGAAGATCAACTCTTAACTGCTTTGTATTTATGCGGTAGTGTATGTGTTGATATTAGGTTTGTCATATTTCAATGTCTTCAACATGACCATCCAATCTCATTAAAATCAGATCTTAGTTCTCGCTACCACTAAACAAAGTTCTGAGGAAATCCCATTAGGGGTCACGTCAGAACGACCTTTCATCAGACCAATCAGAGCGTCGCTTACCAAATCATGAAAGTGACAGTCGGAATGTGATTTCTAATCATGCAACCTCGAAAACTTTAAAACGGGGTATTCCGAAAGATAGCTACGGGCTTAACGACTGAATCTATACAATCTAGACCATATATTAGCCATTTGATAATGTTCTTTTGTTCAGGTTTCAATTTTTTAAGCGGGAATTTGTCAAAAAAAGTTTCGAAGCGTAGTCGCCAATTTGAAATTAGTGCCGTAAAGCACGAGAAAGCTGCCTTCTGATTGGCTAAGGTCGATTCTTGTCAGTAATGCCATTGGTCGGTCAGAGTTCGCGAAATTTCGGTCTGACGTGGCCCTTAATGGGATGTCCTCAGATCTTTGTTTAGCGGCAGCGAGAACTAAGATCTGATTTTAATGAGATTGCATGACCATCGATACATGATATACAGGTCTTACATACACTGGCTAAATGCAGAACCCGATGTTTATCATCCGCCTCCGTTCTCTAGCGGACAATGCGGAAGGTCGGGGTTTCGATCCCTGGCCGCGTCATACCAAAGGACGTTACAAGATGGTACTTGTTGTTACCCTGCCTGACGCTCGGCATTAAGGCAATAAAACAAGGGCTGGTTGGCTCTGAGTCAATGTACTGTGTCTGAGTTGTGTATTCATGTTAAACGGCTGCATGGTATCGCAGGGTGCTAGCGTTTTAGTCAGGACTAGTACAAACAGTCTCACAAAGAGAAACGTGCATGCACGTCGCTATATTAGCTCAAAAATCTTAAAGTCACATAACCTTTAATCATTTGTTTTAACCTACTTGTGCATGAACTGGGAACTATGACCTTGACCTTCTCTGGTGTTGCAGAACTCATATTTCCTAAGGACACGACGATATCGACGTCTTTAGTGACGTCACATGTTGCCGCCATTGCTGATATTTCATTGGGTAGAAGAGACCGTTTTATCAGGTTCATGCTTCTGACTGCAGCTCCTGTAACACAAAATGTATACCGTCAGTGAGTGAGTCAGTTGGGTTTCATGCCGCTTCATTCTCTATTCCAGCAATAACGGCTGACGGCCGGGAACACAAGAATTGACTCCACACATTAATATTGTACCAATGTCGGGAATAGAACCGGGGCTTAGGTGCAATGAGCCAGCACTTTAACCATAAGGCACACAGTGTACACAGTGATCAAAACAAACCCGCCGAAGAACGCAGAGACAACAAAGTCACTGAAGCTAGTCTTAGACGACGACTCGTAACACATCTCTTGTTGGGCAGATTGTATGCAATTCAAATGACGATTTAGCCTTTGACATTTTTTAACCTCCGGAAATGTTAAATGTTACCGGTAAGACTCGTATTTGTCTTCTGAAGAATGTTAACAATGCATATGTAAGAACTGTCGCGAAAATAAAGAGAAGGCCATGTATATGCATTAACACTACATTAATTCAATATGAATGAGTGCATATTGTTTATGCCGCAAACAACAATTTCACAGCTTTTTTAAGATGATCAAGTTAAAGAATCTGACAAGGTACACCAGTGGTTGATAGCATGGGCAGCAACCCGAGCCGTCGGGTACAATCACTCATTATCGACCAGGTCAAACATAGTTACAACCCTGTTCTTTTTATGTTCGACTATTGCGACAAATAAGCATTTCTATTACATAAAAGCTCCCTGGAAATTCCGGATGAAAACGGATCCTATCAAATCATGCTTGTCGTACGAGGCAGCTTAATAGATGGTGGTCAGGCCTGGTGACTTGGTTTATTGCGTGTCATCGTATCCTGACGGGGTTGATCGATGCTCAGAATGTCATTCACTGGTTTTTCTGGTCCAGATTCAATTATTTAAGCTGGAATATTGCGGAATTCGGCGTTAACATTAAACAACAAACGAACATCGATAAAAGATAAGGTCTATATCAGTAGAATATGTATTTATTTCAAACCACGACGTCTTCCCTTTTGCATGTGTATGTCAACGATTACCTCCTACTTCGTCGACGTTCACTTCCATCGTTGACCCAGCCGCTAACACTGGGGAGGTGACCATCGTCGTCATGGATACCTCTTTGTCTCCCCTAAAGAGCGTCAACGCACTGCTGTCCCCAGTGTAGGCCAAGGCTAGGAATGTCCACGCTTCGGTTTCCATGGTGATGCCAGACATGATCTCTGTACTATAAGTTAACAAAGAGTTGCATGTGTGGTATTGCGCATTTTGTCTGAGAGCACACGACATAAAATCAGCTTGAAATCGGTGTACGCATGCGCCTTTACACCACAGCATATGCATGGTACAGAATCTGTACAGCGAATATTGCTACACGTTAGGCGCCGCGATTCGCTGTGCAGAGTTGCGTCTCTTTAGCACGCCAGAAACTTATGATTGTGGCTTCGAATCCTGGTTCACCGCGATTATGTTTCTAGGTTTGTCAGCACCATACCCGTGCTCGTGGGTTTCACCGAAGTGGTAAACGTCTGAGACCTGCATCGCTTCGGGCATTCCTCCCACATTAAGCTGACACGCCGCGATATAACTGGAATGCTGTTAAAAGCACCCAACTCACTCATAAATTGCTTTAACCATTATCCATTTCGTATAGGGACCGATCAACACTTTTTGACGTTGCATTTTGTAAACAAATGTTACGTCAATTCATTAACAAGTATCGGGCTTTGCAGATGCAGATGAAAAAAGCTTGTCTCAATCTAAAATCCCAGCCCTCCCCGTCTCCTTACAAGGTAATATCAAATGGTCGGTTCCTCTACGGCCAAGATCTGATTCTCAAATATTGTTAGATTTAGATTTTAGAGTCCACGTTGTAAGGTAAAGGTAAACATTAAGTTTGACACTCTCACCCGTGAACAGACACAGAAATCAGGTTTCCAATGCTCATGTCCAGCTGATCTCCAGCCGATGCCTCTGTAACTTTGATGGACATTTGGGCCACAGATTTAATCTTGATCCACAGGGTCAAGGTGAAGTCATTGGTTGCGTCAGAGAGTTGATTCCCTGTGGTCAGACTGCAAGGTCCTTCAACTGCCAATTCATAAGCTGCAAAAGGCATGTAAAACGTGTGACTAAAAAGTTATTAATAAAAAAATATCTGAATTACAACTCTCATTGCCCGTTACTGAGTTCACCGGAGCCACAGTTGTCCCAGTCATCGCAATTCAAAGTGTAGAGTTGTGTCCCTTGGGCACGCCAGAAACCTACGACTGTGGGTTCGAATCTCGGTTCGCCCCGACAATGTTTCCAGCTTTGTGGTAAACGTCTGAGATCTGCATCACTTCTGGCTTTCCTCCCACATTAAACTGAAACACCGTGATATCAGTGTTCGAAATGAGCGCCTGCCCGTAGGCCCGTGGGAGGTAGATCTCGTGTTGGGCCCGTACTTTTAAATTCGTATGGGTCCTTACGGCCTGATGTACAATCAAGTGTCTATTTAATTGTTACAGTAAGATGCGTTTTTTAAAAGGGGGCCTGAAGAGTTTAGACATGACCTGCAGCTTTTAAAGTATATGGGTCCTGACTGTAGTCTGGTAGATTATGCTATTTCAAACACTGTGTAATATAACTGGAACGTTCAAAGCGGCGTTAAACTCAACTCACTCGCTCACTGTTGTCTTCACTGACGTGAAAACGAAACTTATTTTCCTATAATATGGAAACAGCGAAACCTCGTTATTCTCGACGGCTCCGGAAATAAAGTTCCTTTAACTATATTTAGATATTAACAACCATCATGAGGAAGGTTTTTATTGAGCACGGAATATCTACGAAACAAATATATATTTTTGGCATATAAATGAACCACACGTATTTTATTTCTTTGAAACGCAACAGATATAACAATTGTGTCAAAGTAAAGTTCTGGTTATAAATGTATAATGACAAGGTGGTCATGTGATTAAGCTGCTACCTACACAGACACTGTTGTGGGTCAGTAGCCCCAGTCGTCTGTGTCGTCGTTCCCGGCGAGCACGTGAAGCACTCAGTTCCGTTCCCTGCAGGATGAAACTCCCCTAACCGACAGGGGGCGCAGGGCTCCACACCGTGTAGAGAAACATGTCCTGGTGTGCAGATGTCTGGAAGAAACCAACGATCACCATGAGGCTTCCGTAACACGTTGTATCAACGATATTTGGTATTGATTCAGAAAAATATGCTTGTGACAGGCTTGGCATAGCGTACAGTGGACTCGTAGACATTTCTTACGATCATTGAAAGATTTTGTCGCGTATATCATTACTTTGAGCAGGATATTGTTACTCTTTTCGCAAACACTTGGGGTCATCAGTGATTCTCAGTCATCCGTTCACAAACAATTCACCACTATTTTGCCTTATAGTGCCAATTTAATCGGTTTAAGCGGATAATCGAGGCTGATTATACTCTGGCCTTGACGTCATATATTTCCAGGTGGGAATGTTGCTGATAATATCACGGGCTTATCAGTCCTGGCATGATTTGCAGGATAAATCTCCTGATTTTTTAAAGATGTATTTCCTGACTGCAACTTAAGCAAACAAAATTGATGACATGCACTGACCGAGACAATCACCGAGTGACCTTGACCCTTCGCTCAGTGACGTTGAACCTTCAGGACAAGGCTTGCACGCGAAGCTGTTATCTTCATCCTGATAGGATCCCGCTGGACACGTGCTGCAGTCATCTAGAATGGCATTGTACATCATTCCCGTCGGGCATACAGCTGAAAATACACCAAAGGCCAAAGCAGATTAACGTGTGACGCGTGACGTCGGTTGGACGCTGAAACGTACAATGGACTCTTTTAGCAGACATTTCTTATCGTTATTGAAAGTGTTTTGTTTCTCTTATGTCTCTCACCACAAGATGCAGTTTGGATCTTGGGCCACATGCCCTCCCCACACACCAGGTTTATTCCCCCGGGATAGTAAGATTCATCGACGCGGGTCTCATATCCGGATATTGTGGGTTGGAAGTCACCGTTGTTTGCCATGTCGTTTACGACGGCGGACAGCGTGTCTAGAATAGACTGGTGGTGATCTATACAATCATTGTCTGACATCTCGCCGCAATCGAAAGGTATGAGGAAGTCCCATTTGACGATAACGGCGGTTATTGTTGCTCGGCGCTCCCGGTCCTGCGTGATCACGTTGTATGCTTCCGGGTCTCTCTAAGTAAATGTGAAAATGAATGTCAAGGTCATATACACTATTGGCCAAAGACTCGATAATTAGAAAAAAACAACCTTGATTTTTGAATGTAACAAGGTTTTAATTTCAAAGCAGAAATTTCTGGTGTAAACAATCAGTAATATCTAGAGAACACACCATTAGCTGCCCGTGGAAGATTCGATTAAAGTCGAATTATCCCAAGTGCAAGACATACGACTTGTCAGGATCACTGATTTATATACACCCATGCGCATAAGTATTGTCAACCCTATACTAAGACGCACACACCTTGGGGTGACGATATTCATAAGCATACTAGGTATATTAGGTCAAAAGAGTATTATTTTTATGGGTCTTAGATGAGGCTTACCGATTCGTACAGTCCCCATCACTGGCCCGAACAGTACAATTATCGGATTCTGGAGGACACGCGTAGTTGTACAGTATTAAAATGCAATTTTCGCAGCGATGCATGTATTTTCAGTAGAATGCTGTTTAAACTGCACTTTACAAGCCCAAAGGGCCTTATAATCACACGCACGCACGCACGCACGCACGCACGCACGCACACACACACACACACACACACTGTCACCAACCAATATGTGCCTCACACAGCCTTCTCACACCCATCCCACACTCTGCCACCTACCAATGTGTAATTCACACAGCCTCCCCAGAAACCCCTGGGCACAGATGCATGTGCACTTGTTGTCATATGCATTCATTTGTCATTCATTTGGGGGGAAGCAAGTAAGAGGAACCTGAAAATGACGCGGGCGGGGACGATCTCGAGTTGAAATGCGAAACAAATCGAGGCCTTTGTGCGCCCTAGGTCTGTTGTCTGTTTCGCGTTTCTTCCTCCCCAGCTCCCCGCACGTGACGTCTACGTTCTCCACAGAACACTGCGCCCCACTACACACGTCAGTAAAGGAAGAAGAATTCTGCATAGCCTTCAGGTGGTTTTCTTTGATCTCGAGCAATGTATCTTCATCCCCGCAGTCCCCCGTGTAGTACAACATCTCCGCCAGGTTTTTCGCCCTACCAGGACGATATTCGACTGTAAAACCATATTGATAATCATATGTTAACTTCAGACATATATCATGAGTACGATGTTTGTCTGTGAAACCATATTAATAGTCATATGTAAATTTCAGACATATATCATGAGGACGATGTTTGTCTGTGAAACCATATTAATAGTCATATGTAAATTTCAGACATATATCATGAGGACGATGTTTGTCTGTGAAACCATATTAATAGTCATATGTTAATTTCAGACATATATCATGAGGACGATGTTTGTCTGTGAAACCATATAAATAATCATATGTAAATTTCAGACATATATCATGAGGACGATGTTTGTCTGTAAAACCATATTAATAATCATATGTTAATTTCAGACATATATCATGAGGACGATGTTTGTCTGTGAAACCATATTAATAGTCATATGTTAATTTCAGACATATATCATGAGGACGATGTTTGTCTGTAAAACCATATTAATAATCATATGTTAATTTCAGACATATATCACGAGTACGATGTTTGTCTGTGAAACCATATTAATAGTCATATGTAAATTTCAGACATATATCATGAGGACGATGTTTGTCTGTGAAACCATCTTAAAAATCATATGTAAATTTCAGACATATATCATGAGGACGATGTTTGTCTGTGAAACCATATTAATAGTCATATGTTAATTTCAGACATATATCATGAGGACGATGTTTGTCTGTAAAACCATATTAATAATCATATGTTAATTTCAGACATATATCATGAGGACGATGTTTGTCTGTAAAACCATATTAATAATCATATGTTAATTTCAGACATATATCATGAGTACGATGTTTGTCTGTGAAACCATATAAATAATCATATGTTAATTTCAGACATATATCATGAGGACGATGTTTGTCTGTAAAACCATATTAATAATCATATGTTAATTTCAGACATATATCATGAGGACGATGTTTGTCTGTGAAACCATATTAATAGTCATATGTTAATTTCAGACATATATCATGAGGACGATGTTTGTCTGTAAAACCATATTAATAATCATATGTTAATTTCAGACATATATCACGAGTACGATGTTTGTCTGTGAAACCATATTAATAGTCATATGTAAATTTCAGACATATATCATGAGGACGATGTTTGTCTGTGAAACTATCTTAAAAATCATATGTAAATTTCAGACATATATCATGAGGACGATGTTTGTCTGTGAAACCATATTAATAGTCATATGTTAATTTCAGACATATATCATGAGGACGATGTTTGTCTGTAAAACCATATTAATAATCATATGTTAATTTCAGACATATATCACGAGTACGATGTTTGTCTGTGAAACCATATTAATAATCATATGTAAATTTCAGACATATATAATGAGGACGATGTTTGTCTGTAAAACCATATTAATAATCATATGTTAATTTCAGACATATATAACGAGTACGATGTTTGTCTGTGAAACCATATTAATAATCATATGTTAATTTCAGACATATATCATGAGGACGATGTTTGTCTGTAAAACCATATTAATAATCATATGTAAATTTCAGACATATATCATGAGGACGATGTTTGTCTGTAAAACCATATTAATAATCATAAGTTAATTTCAGACATATATCATGAGGACGATGTTTGTCTGTAAAACCATATTAATAATCATATGTTAATTTCAGACATATATCATGAGGACGATGTTTGTCTGTGAAACCATATAAATAATCATATGTAAATTTCAGACATATATCATGAGGACGATGTTTGTCTGTAAAACCATATTAATAATCATATGTTAATTTCAGACATATATCATGAGGACGATGTTTGTCTGTAAAACCATATTGATAATCAAATGTTAATATCGGACATATATTTCCATCAAACAATATTGCCGTGGTTAGAACAAATGAAATCTTGTAATTTAAACATATGTTGTGTTAACTATAAAGAGTGGATATACTACATTTCCGCCAAATTGCGGCGTCGTTGACAACTTGACCCTGCATGTGCCCACGGCATTTAAAACACGATGACAAAGTTACCGAAGTGACGTGAAGACAACATTGACCTGAGATCGTAAACAACGAACACTGGTTTGGGACGTTGAGATTCAAACCTGGATCTAATGTGGTTGTATGGTATTGAATAATTGGCAACAGACGAAAGACGCTAACAATGGTCACGCGTTCGTCGAGAGTAAAATAAACCCTGTTCCTCACGTGAACAGTCCTTGACAGTACTCTCCGGCCGCCAGGTCCCTGTTGAATAGCCACATACGTACAGCTCCGGGACTGTGTGGGGCACGTCGTATTTGTCGTTACAATGCATGCTGCAGAAGGAACTCGCTAAGTTGGCGTCACAAGCAAGAGCACCATTCTCGGGCAGGTCGAGGTCGGGACATGGCCTTTCTGAAATGACAGTGATTGTGAAAATATTTTCTTCCAAGCCTCAAAACTCAATTTACTGAGAATTGTTCTTCCTCAATCGTCCACATACTAATGCCAAATATATTTTACACGGATTAGAATGATTGCCATATCATATGTGGTTAAATGGAAAACATAAAATATCAAAAGCCATTAAGTTAAGTTCTTCTTTTCATCCTCAGGATATCCCATCAACAGATTCGTCCAGCGGTTTTAGTTTGGCAGTCATGCCTAAGAGTGAGTACTGTTGGTAATTAAACATTATAGGGTTCAGACAATGATGCCGCTGGTATGGACTGAAATGAAGGTCTGAAAACAGAAAGTGATCAATAAAATGATGACATCGCGTCCCAACTCTCTGCACGATGATGACACCGCTTCCCAACTCTCTGCACGATGATGACATCTAGTCCAAACTCTGCCCGATGATGACACCGGGTCCCAACTTTCTGCACGGTGATGACACCGTGTCCCAACTTTCTGCACGGAGATGACACCGGGTCCCAACTTTCTGCACGGAGATGACACCGTGTCCCAACTTTCTGCACGGAGATGACACCGGGTCCCAACTCTCTGCACAGAGATGACACCGGGTCCCAACTCTCTGCACGATGATGACACCGGGTCCCAACTCTCTGCACAGAGATGACACCGGGTCCCAACTCTCTGCACAGAGATGACACCGGGTACCAAATCTCTGTACGATCATGACACCGGGTCCCAACTCTCTGCACGATCATGACAATAGATCCAAACTCTCTGCACGCTCATGACACCGGGTCCCATCTCTCTGCACGATGGTGACAACAGATCCCAACTCTCTGCACGCTCATGACACCGTGTCCCAACTCTCTGCACGATGATGACACCGGTTCCCAACTCTCTGCACGGAGATGACACCGTGTCTCAACTCTCTGCACAATGCTGACATCGTGTCCCAACTCTCTGCACGATCATGACAACGGTTCCAAACTCTCTGCACAGAGATTACACCGTGTCCCAACTCCATGTCCCATGACACTGTGTCCCCACTATCGCTGCAAGATACCAGGTCCAAACTCTCTGTACGATGACCTTGCTGGCGCCGACTCTCTAATTGGAAGTCAGAATTCTTTACCGTTTATCACCATCCAACCAATGTCTTGTTAATACTCCTCATTTTGTCGAAGAGTCTGAGAGTCCATTTAATACAGCCGAAATGGCGACAGGCTTCATTAACAGATACAGGCCACCGGTGTTGAAGTCGCAATAAATTGTTTTGACAGATTGTTGTGCGGCGTTAAGCAATAATTACTCACTCACTCACTTACCTTCACAGAAGGGTGTGCTGCCATTGTATTCCCATTTGGTACTAGGTGGAACTGAGTTCTCCTTCACGCAGGTCATCAAGTTGGATCCATTCAGTAAGGCTCCCATGCACCCGATAGCACACTCCGATCCATACATATAGTCATTGGTACACTTCAACCACATCTTGTTGTCTGGGAGCGATGGAGGACTGCAGGTGAGGGCTGAAAGGAAACAAACCTATAAACGTATCTTAGACAATGGCGATGTGAATCAGTGGGCACATGTGTGAATGCAAAGGTAAGGTGGTAAAATGGGGTTTAACGTCGAGTCCAAGATTATTGCACATATATAGCTACGTGCATGTACGTGTGTGTGAGCTGCTTGTACTAGTCAGGACTAATGCCTAATACATAGTTCTAGCCCACTGAGATACCGTGCCACAGTTTAACATGAATACCCTACTCAGACACGGTATACTAACTCCCAGCCGACCAGTCCTTGTTTTAGCGCCTTAATGCCTAGCGCCAGACAGGGTAACAACAAGTACCATCTTTTAACGTCTTTTCGTATGACGCGGTGGGGATCGTATCCCAGACCTTCCGCTCAACGGGCGGACGCTTTACCACTAGACCGTGAATGCAAAGTGAGTGAGTGAGTTGGGCTTAAAGCCGCTTTTAACAGCATTCCAGTTATATCACGGCGTGTCAGCTTAATGAGGGAGGAAAGCTCGCAGTTCTAACACGTTTACCGCAAACCCAGAAACATAATCGGGGTGAACCGGGATTCGAACCTACAATCATAGGTTTCTGGCGTGCCCAAGGCACGCAACTCTCCACACCAAATTGCGGCGCCACAGACGACTGAGCCACCCGTGGTCCCCGTGAATACAAAGACTCCACATATATACGATAGTTGTGCTTGAACACTGTCCAAGTTATTAGACGACAGTGTCAACTTGAATCGGGACATGCGACAAGTTGTAAACGTTCACCATGAACAGAGGACTGGTGCTGACAAACCTAGAAACCGGGAACTGAGCCACCTTGGAGTGAGTGAGTGAGTGAGTGAGTGAGTATGGTTTTACGCTGCTTTTTGCAATATTCCAGCAATATCACGGCGGGGGACACCAGAAATGGTCTTCACACATTGTACCCATGTCGGGAATCGAAACCGGGTCTTCGGCGTGACGAGCTAACGCTTTAACCACTAGACTACCCGCCCGCCCGAGCCACCTTGGAGACATGTCGCATTCCGACAGGCTTACAAACCACATGATGGCCGTCTTGGTGACCATCTCTGATTCGAGCCCTCACTCATGTGACAGTGCAGTTGAATGTTCTGGTGGTGGAGTATCACCAAGTACAAGTATCACCAAGCTATTATCATAATTAGCCGAGTAAAATCAACCGTATGAACGAACGGGCAACGGCAAAAATGTAAATAGTTCACTCACTTTGGACCACGACGTTAAATGTGCACATTGCCTCGTTTCCAGAAGGGTCCGTTGCCTTGTACGCGATGACTGACGACCCAGAAAACATCGACCCTTGCGGTAACCCCTCGACTTGTGTTACAGTGACGTTGCCGGCGTTGTCCGTCGCTGTGATGTCGCCCCATAGTCCAGCTGTTAAAGATGTGCCCTGATCCGCAAACAACATGATGCTCACGGTGGGACAGTCGTCAAAGACTGGAGCCGCGGTATCTGATGGATGGAACAGTGTCATCGGACAGGGTTTGTTTGTTTGTTTGTTTGTTGTTTAACGCCGCGATCAGCAATATTCCAGCTATATGACGGCGGTCTGTAAATAATCGAGTCTGGACCAGACAATCCAGTGATTTATATCAGCGAGCCTGACCACCCGATCCCGTTAGTCGCCTTTTACGACAAGCATAGTCGCCTTTTACGGCAAGCATGGGTTGCTGAAGACCTGTTCTACCCCGGAATCTTCACGGGTCTCATCGGACAGGGCTCTAATTTATTTAAGCATATCATTTGTCATGAACAAAGAACTAAGTTGAGTTTGAGGTCGGATGAACAAAGCTAAGGTGTGGAGTGGGATGTGGAGTTTTGCAAGTTGAGCACTTGTTTTTAATATATGGGAAGTTTGTACAATTCCGAAAACACCAATTTCAGTATAAAAATCATGTCACTTCAGTCATCCAATACTATGATCAGTTATGGCGAATGCGATAGTACAGTTTTCTTTCCTCCCTATTCTGACAGATGTGCGTAGAGTACATGCTACAAGTACTCTATGAACTGGGAGCAGAACGCCTGTACTTTACTGTACTGATCGAGTTGCAATCTTCTGGGAGAGTATGCTTGGCTTTAATTAAGCGTATGGTTGTCGTGAACAATCAGGTGTCTGTGTTGAAAAAATGCTGTAAATATTATGCTTATGCTGAAAAGTGCTGCATAATATTTGTTGACAAGTTTTTCAATCATGTATAACTGCTATGGTAGATAAATGCATAAATGATGCAATAAATGTGACAACATTGAAGGTACATCCAAATATTCTTCCGTCCAGATGGTTCAATTAGATTGCCTGTTGGTGTACGGGTGCCCTCTCTGGCGAGGTTCGATTCCAACCTTTTCTACACATCCGTCGTCACACTAGCATATTGTAGTTCATCATCCCCATCACTGAATTAATTACATATTGAATGCTCACCTATACACTGTGGCACTGGATGCAACCATTGCCCCGTCTTCAAACAGATGGTGATGCTGGGGTTGGTGACGCTGAAGCCGACACTGATGTCACAGGACAGGGAACAGATGCTGCCGTAGTCGTAGTTGTCTGTGCAGGTGAAGTCGGCGAGATCGGCGCACGTTTTGGCTTCAATAAAATATCAGAAAGAGATAGGTATCCGCATCAGCATCATCAGCAGCAAGCTCACTATATGATCTGCAGAGTTCCGTTCCTTAGTAGTGTCAGGATCCGTGGCCATGGGTTCAAATCCCGATTATGATCCTAGATGTGTCAACTACCAGCACGCGCTCGTTGGTTTTACGAAAGTTATAAACGTCTTTGACATTATAAATATAATGTTACATCACTCAATACGTTTATTGAAGTGTTTGCAACACTCCCCAGCCTTACTGCTGCTAGACTTTACACGGATTAGACTTTGAACTTTCAATAAAAAAGTATTTCTGCTTTAATTTATTTAGGAACACATGCGAACTACGTCATAGAAAAAACTATGTATCTATCGAAGTAATTAAAGGTATGTACGCATTAAAAAACATGGATTCAGTATCCAACCTGACTGATTGTTATGCACAATTTATGTCATATTTGAATGTCTGAGACCTGCATCACTTCCTTTCCTGCAACAGTAAGCTGACACTATGACATTATTGATATACTGTTCAAAGTGGCGTTAAACCCAACTCACTTAGTCACTATTTAGGTTTTTTGTTTTACAGTTTTAGCTTGGCACTCATTGCCTCCTCTCGTAGGGTACTTATGGTTAATATAACCTTCAAAGGAGTACAAAATATATACATTATATCATACATTTATATTTATCCATTAGCTATTATTAATCGGACAAAACGACTTCTGAGAATGCCGCTTACGTTTACAGGTGGGAAGGTCACTGCTCCACGAACCGTCTTGCTCACATGTGACCTCCGCAGCGCCCTCAAGGTCATACCCATCGTCACAGACCAGCTGGCATTTCTTGCCGTGGATGATCTCTCCGCCGTCACACACACGAGAGGCGTGACGAACCCAGTGCATGTAACACGTGGGAACTGGTAATAAATAATTATTGATATAATGTAAACATTTTCCTGTGGCCACCCATACGATAAGACAGAACTTGTGCATCCAATTTCAACGTCTTACATAATAACATGTCAATACAGTCTACAAATGCATGAAACTTCGTTCACCCGGGCGGTCTCGTTCAAAATCAAACAGTCCGGAAAAACGTAAGTAAACTACGGTTATAACGAACTCAAAGGGACCACAAAGTTTAGTTCGTTATAAGCGTATTTCGTTATAAGCATATATATATATATATATAGCATTTATACAGCATATATACAGCAAATGGCCGGAACCAAAAAAAACCAGTTCGTTATATCCGCCAGTTCGTTATAAGCGTGTTCGTTATAAACGTAGTTTACTGTATTTTTCAACTTGATAGATAGAGTAGTCCAATCTAAGTAGCCGATGACAACTAAACGCTATGTTATTCTGTCTACACTTCAATAAAATAATAATGTTTTCAAATAAAGTTTCAGTTACCCAAGTAAGGATCTTTTTTGTATTAGTTGTGTGTCTTATCATATACAGACTTGCGTGCTTGGATCCTTTTAAGATATCACAAAGTGTGTGTGCTTGTAAGGTTCATTGATTGTTTTTTATGAAATCAAGCTCTGTAAGTATATACATGCTACCATTACAATGACCCGCTGTCCCCACTGTTTGGATGGTTGCCAAGTCTGACGAGTAATCGCCGTGGGAGTTTACAACACTACAAGACCTTATACTCTGGCACCCGCCGTCTGTCTTAAGTATATAATCTGTTTGAATGTAAGAAGATGGGGGAATGATTGGGAAATGATTGGGAATGATTGGTCTCGGAACGCCAATACATAGCGCGAAAGGCAACCGGAGCGGTGAGTACTGATATTCTTAAAACTCAAAATAACAGGCCTAGGGTGTGTGAAAATGCACTTCCTGTTTCTCATGCCTCGATCGCAAGCCACTAAAACTGCCCCAGCTCCACGTTCAATATGTTAAAGCTCTGTTAAGAAGCGACTTTTACTTGTCATATTATTGTTTTTGAGTTAAGGAAAAAGTAATATCATCCCTCTCTACCCAATCAGATTAGAAAAATGTCATGAGAATCAAGAGTTGTTTGTTAATAGCCTAAACATTAATTGCACGGATTAAAAAAACCGTGTTTGAACGACAAATGTCAAGTTTGATACAAATAATATTTATACATGTACGTCCATACAAAGTGAAAGGAATGTATTTAAACCGCAATAATACTTATATCCTCCTTATTGTTATAATTTGAGAGCCCCTGAGAAGTATTTCTGATTACGTGTCTTATAACAATCCCAATACACTAAAATTAGGTTTTACCTTTGAGAACATTTATGGTCAACAATTGTCTTCGCGAACACCTGGTGTGATCATTATTTGACATGATTCATAAACACATGCTCATCATACAGGTGAGGTGAGGTGAAATGGGGTTTAACGTCGTGTACAAGATTATTGCACTGATATAGCGACGTGCATGTACGTGTGTGTGTTTGTGTGGCTGCTTGTACTAGTCCGGACTGATGCCGATTTATAGTGTTAGCTCACTGAGATACCATGCCGCAGTTTAACATGAATACCCCACTCAGACACAGTATACTGACTCCGAGCCGACCAGTCCTTGTTTTAGCCCCTTAATGCCGAGCGCCAGACAGGGTAACAACAAGTACAATTTTTTAACGTCTTTTGGTATGACGCGGTCGGGGATCGAACCCCGGACCTTCCGCTCTCCGGGCGGACGCTCTACCACTAGACCACGGAGGCGGTTCTCATCATACAGTCGGAATAGGACAATCGACTCTGCTTACATCAGAAACGTCTTCTGAATACATCTTCACGAAGCAAGATAGTTAACTGACTTTAAAAGTCCAGTTTCCACCCTTGTCGAACAAGGCTGGAATTCCTGGGCTCGATAGTAGCGCCACCAGTGGTTATTACGGATTATGTCCCTTCTAAGCCTCTCCTATGGACCAATCCGATCCTGCAATCGACCGAAATTTGCACGACAGTTCACTGACCGGATTTCGATTTCGTTGCGAGATTTTGATTTGACTATGTATAGACTCGTTAGTCCAGCCAAAATGTAACTCCATGATACCAGCCTAGTTCGGCAAGGGTGGAAACTGGACTTTAATTGTCAGTTAACTCTCTTGTCGCGGGAAGATGTCTGAATATGGAAAGGGTATTGTCGCTTTTATTTGCTAATTTTATCGGGATAATCATTCGTCGAGCGAGACGAATGTTACGGTCACATGATTTCGAGCCCTTCCATTATTGTTGCACAATCAGTCAAATGTCACACAGGAAGTTTAAAAAAGGCCGATACATCATTAGTGCATAAGATGGTTCTGAAGCAAAATTATCGAAAAAAAGTTCGATTAAATTGTACGTTGGTGAAAATGTAAGTTTTGAGGTATGTTTTCATTACTTATTGAATATTTTACCTCGTGTTGAATATTTTACCTCGTGTTGAATATTTTACCTCGTGTAGCTTTATTGGTAACACTTCGCTGTCTTCAGTGGACTTTGAAGCGTCTACCTTGATCACTTTATTAAGCGCGTGGTTAAATATTGTTCAGGGGATCGAAAATAGGTGAGGTTTGAAAACATTTGACGTGGGGATATATCATGACGGCATGTAATCATAGAGTGTGGACCAGACAAACCAGTGGTTGACATCATGAACACTAAGCAATCATTCAAACCGTCCTGCATTGTAAACACCCGATCACCGCTGCATAACCCGCAATGGGACCCGGCAGTCAAGGCACGGCCCAACAGTACCATGTGGGATAGTACAATCTTACACTCCGATCACACACGTCTCCCAAGGCTGAATTCTTCGTCTTGAGTGCGTGAGTGCTCCGATTATGTTTCTAGGTTTGTGGTAAACGTCTGAGACCTGCATCACTTCGGGCTTTCCTTTAACATTTAGCTGACACGATAGTTATTGAGTGAGTGAGTATGATTTTACGCCGCTTTTAGTTATATTCCAGCAATATCACAGCGGGGGACACCAGAAATGGGATTCACATATTTTACCCATGTCGGGAATCGAACCCGGGTTTTCGGCCTGACGAGCGAACGCTCTAACCACCAGGCTACCCGACCGCCCCTCTTCGTCTTGAACTCACTCACCGACATATATTGAGATATAAAAAACGACGTGCATAAAACTGCTTGTGCACCACACAGTTGGGTTCTGCAATGCTTTGTGGGAGTCTGTCATTTCTTAAAAGAGTAAACGTGACAGCTTGACAACGTGACCAAATTGATAATACTTTGCGTTTGACAAAAATGTGATATGCGGATCAAGAGCCGTGTTCAAGTTTATATGAAAACGACTTTTGTGATTTTGATGTAAATATGCTACAGAAACACCTTGTATAAGGTTTATCTACTGGGCATAATATTTTGTTCATTGCGGGACAAATGCGTTTTTTCCTCCACAAGTTTGTGTGGCTCTTGCAGTGAGTGACAGAAAGGATAATCTGTCTTAGCCAAACATCCCATCAGTCTCCCCCGTCCCCCTCTGACCCCTTCAGCACTCCACACCACCCCCATTTCCAATTTCCCACCGAATGTAAAAACTTCGGTGCCCAAGGACAGTGTTTGCGCGAAAACAATGTGATGTCCTTAAAGTATGTTAACAAAGAGTGAGTGAGTATGGTTTAACGCCGTTTTTAGCAATATTCCAGCAATATCACGGCGGGGGAAACCAGAAATGGGCTTCACACATTGTACCCATGTCGAGAATCGAACGCGGGTCTTCGGCGTGACGAGCGAACGCTTTAACCACAAGGCTACCCGACCGCCCCGTGTTATTAAAGAGGGAGCTGGAATCATATCTTACCTCTCACTTCAAATGAGAAATTACAGTAGTCGGAGAAGCCTTTACTGTCCGTCGCTTTATAGGAGACTGTGTGATACCCACGGAGAAACGTACTGCCTGGTACCAGCCCTTGCGTCAGTGAAGGGCTACAACATTACATGACACCTCAGGAAACATCTGCGTTTATACAGTGGAGTACCGTTAATCCATTTGTGTATATTGAAACATTCCAAAAACAATCGTGCACAAGGCAGAGTCTTGATCACAGGGTTTGGTTGTCGATATAGATGATGCAGTCAAAACATTGATCCCATCCCCAAACAAATCAACATTTTGCAAATCATTCATTAATTCTAAATGTGTAAATTGGATAATGGTTTTGTGGGTCAAAAAGAATACATAGGAGTATATTTTTATAGTTGTGAAAATATATTTTTTAGAGTGTAAAAACGAATACTTACGTTATTGAATTGCCCTTTCCATCAACAGCCGACGGCATTGTCCACGTCACTGTTGTGCTGGTCAGTCCTCGGTCAGCAAAGATTGGGGTCTCCGGGGGTTCACATGAAGTCATTCTTGGGGGACTATAGTCTTTTCAGGTTCGAATTAGAATATGTTAAAACCGTGTGACAGGAATATGATAACAAAGTGTAGATACAAAGAAACCAATACGCTATTCACGTGAGAAAATAATGCAAGTTATTAAGACGTAATTCACACACGAAAAGATATTACAAATAACTAAAGACCTGTTCACATGAGAGGGTAATACATCATTACCGTAACTACTTCATTCTGATTGGTCAAGCATCGGTATCAAATGGCAGTAACCCCCTCTGATTGAAAGAGTCGAATTGATATATTTGTAGACAAATACCCCCTTGTCAGCCTTTGTATGTAGGCATATTCTAATCATAATATGTTACAAAATGCTGTGAGTGAGTGAGTTGGGTTTAGCGCCGCTTTTAACTGTATTCCAGTTATATCACGGCGTGTCAGCTTAATGTGGGAGGAAAGCCCAAAGTGATGTAGGTCTTAGACGTTTACCACTTCGGGGAAACCCACGAGCTCGGGTATGGCGCTGACAAACCTAGAAACATAATCTGCACAGCGAATCGCGGCGTCTAAGACGACTGGGCCACCCGTGCCCCCTACAAAATGATGAAGTGCTGTCACTACAATATTCACACGACACACTCTTGGCAGAAAACATGCTCAAAATTGACTACCAGAGTATTCCAAATATTGGTGACCACAGAGAGCTTTAAAATTCGATACTTGACTATGACATCATACCGTTGCGTCACAACGAGCGATGTGACGTCATAATAGTCATTTGCGGTCTCGAACTAAACCTTGCGAGATTTGATTAATTTTTTCTTTATGGGTTCACGTGAACTGTATCTTGACTTACGAAGTTGCCATACAACACACTTTGTCCTGTTTTTTTATGTTGGGAAAGTGTAGCGATGTACAAAAGACATTGTCAATATGTCAACACATCTAAGTGCAAACTCTATTACTGGCTATCATCGATATTTCCTTAATTTAGATCGTGAACTCACTCAAAACATTGCATTGGGCCCGTGCCGCTTCACTTAATATCTCGGACAACGAGTTCGTGTTTACATTTGTCATAGAAGGATGGCGTGAAACGTTACCTGTTGATTTGACCGTTTTGAAAACACAGTATGTTTATCTCCTAGTAACGTATTTTATAACAACCCATTCACTCGGGTCAATAGTCAGATAGGGGATAGAAAACTAAACAGTTGACTTTGGCTTTCTTTGTGTGATTTTTCTCAAATGGTTATATCCCAATATGTAATGTTTCCCCTTGAACATTCCTCGATGTTATTTTCCAAAAGTGCTATTTCACATGTCAACTATTTTTACACATAGCACCAAGCCATTAAATGCTTGCGGCTATATTAGAAATATTAGGACGGAGTGTGTTGGGTATAGTTCCCCTGTTTACAGTGTTTCGGTTATATCCCGGCGGGGGTCGGTCGGGTAGCCTAGTGGTTAAAGCCTTCGCTCGTCACGCCAAAGACCCGGGTTCGATTCCCGACATGGGTACAGTGTGTGAAGCCCATTTCTGGTGTCCCCCGCCGTGATATTACTGGAATATTGCTAAAAGCGCCGTAAAACCATACTCACTCACTCAATCACTATCGTGTCAGCTTAATGTTGGAGGAAAGCCCGAAGTGATGCAGGTCTCAGACGTTTACCACAAACCTAGAAACATAATCGGAGCGAACCGGGATTCGAACCCACAATCCTAGGCTTCCGGCGTACACTAACAAATACTATGCCATGGTAAACGGTTGATGATGCAATACCAAAGTCGTGAGTCCGACACGACCGACACGACGTAAAACTTAGCAGTCGAATCACATAACACACATGGGCGAGAGACATTATGTGAGAAGTTACTGATAAGAGGGATGCTGGCGTCATTTCCGAAACAAAGCTACAGTCGCGAAAAGGTCCAAGTCTTGTCCATTACAGAATGTCGATTTTAGGCTGGATAATCAATGATACAACTTAGTAGGAGGCTGACAAAGACATGGACAGTACAGATGTGTGTAAAGTACTTACCATCCTCGCCATTACCTTCATCCCTCCGACGACAGAAGAAGTAACAAGCTGCAGCTCCGATTAATAACCCCAAAAAAAATCTTTTCTCTCTCTGCAGGCCTGAAAAGCAAATAAAAAATATGCACTTGCAAGGATAATGTCACTGCGTATAACAGGAACACTCATACAAGATTTTACTCAAAAGAAGTAAAGAAAACCCGATTCTAAGATTAAAAACATTCGAATTGGGTGTTCTTTCCCTTTTTGGAGTGGTATAGTTCCAATGGTAAAAGGTGAAATATTTCATACATTTAGTTCGGAAAAACACTCACTATGTCCATAGTCTAATGTTTCTGAGCTCCCATGTCAGTCGAGACGTCGGACGTAAGTACATTCTTGATCCAGGTCCCGTAGAATCATTGCGAATACCAATTAAAATGAACACAAATATTTTGATCCAGGTGCGATCTAAACATCTGAGACTAGTCAGCCACATAGGCACACACGGACTGAGTGAGTGAGTGAGTGAGTGAGTTGGGTTTGACGCCGATTTTACCAGTATTCCAGTTATGTCACGGTGTGTCAGCTTAATGTGGGAGGAAAGCCCAAAGTGATGCAGGTCTTAGACGTTTACCACTTCGGTGTAACCCACGAGCACGGGTATGGTGCAGACATACCACACGGATTGAAAAATACATACTAGTATATGATCAGGAAAAGTCCCGTTAAATTTTACCCTTAACCTTTACTTCATCTGTCATATTCTAATATCATAATTAGACTATACCTTCACGGCAACCTGTAGTTTTCCAAGCACTGTTTAAACATGTGATGCACCTTGGCATGTCGGGGTTGTCTTCTCTTAGTCTGCAGCTGGAGTGTTTGGGGAAACGAACCATGTCATTTTCAGCCGGTACCATCTGCCCGTCAACAGGTATGTAGCAACGTTCAATCACGTCGCTCCTACCCCCCATGACACACGTGGGATCTTGATATAATTGGTAGTTGGTTATCTGACAAACGCAAGTTTAACAACTGTTGATGTGTAACGACCTTAATGCTTTACGCAAAACACTTCACATGACATTGGCCAAAAGAAACGTATAAATAACATAAAATGTCAATGCAAGAGAAAAATTATCCGCCGAAACCGATTCCATTTGGCGTAAAGGGCAAAATAGCTGTGACAATTCTATGAATGGACAAGTGTTAACACCAAGTGTTCCCCAAAAGAGTAGTGAGTGAGTGAGTGAGTGAGTGAGTGAGTGAGTTTGGTTTTACGCCGCTTTTAGCAATATTCCAGCAATATCACGGCGGGGGACACCAGAAATGGGCTTCACACATTGTACCCATGTCGGGAATCGAACCCGGGTCTTCGGCGTGACGAGCGAACGCTTTAACCACTAGGCTACCCGGCCGCCCCCCGAAAAGAGTAAGCATGCCCTGCCTACCATCAACAAGAAGGAATGTCTGACTCCATATACATGCAACGTTGTATCTTTTGAATGACTGGTGTTAAGAAGTGGAAGTATAAGAGTCCACATTCTTACAAATGGAAAGTAAAACCCCGTTAATCCGAACGCTATCGTGCCCATAATATGCTATCAAGCGGCTTAACGAATTTCCGATTTGAACGAACCCTCTGTATGGAGTCTTGTCAAGGAGTATATATGCATACTTCATTCACATAAATTATCCATAAGGCCGTGATTCGGTTTAACAGGGTTTTGCTGTATAGAGACATGAGCAAATATTCATATATAGACTTATTCGTTTCGATGTTAGACCATGCTATTGATACAGTGTGTGTGAGGAATACATATCACGTCATCAACAAGATCAAAGAGTTCGAGTTAAAGACGCTTGACAATTAGGGCAATAAGACCATGACGGGTGAAGTTGATTTACGTGGGCAGAGCAGTAAACACTGTATGAGCTGGTGGGTTGAACGCCACTTTGAAGAGTATATACGTTATATCACATACACGAATATGGTATAACGGAGATAAATGTACTATTTTTTCAATGTAGAGTAGGTTACCTGTAGATTCAAAGGAGCTAAATTTAACATGTGAAACCTCTAATTAAATTAATTAAATGAACTAGACATTTAATGGTAACTTATTAATAAATAAACACACACAAATCGATGGCACAATTAGAATGTCAGAATTGTGAAAACTGCCGAGAACAACAGTTTATCCATCGAAGCAAATTCCATTGAGCGTAAAGGAAAAAAGGTGGGGAACGTTTATGGATGGGTCACTGAAAATCAGTGGTGACACCCTTTGTTCGCAACTCACACAAGTTGGCTTTAAAAGCTATGGGGTCCTTCTCTTGTTAAATGAAACACCACTACACTTTAAATATTCCAAGAAGGAGAGAGAGATAGAGAGAGAGAGATATATACTTCTAAAATATCACACATTAAGGACACGACTACAGTTACTTTGGTGTAGAATGAATAATCAAGAAGACTTACTATGTCCTGAAGTACGTGTTGATGTCGTCCTGAGATGCCGGAGATGTGACTGACGTTGACGGGTGATGGGAGTACAGGGGGAAGCAAAATGAGTGCTGTAACCCAAAGCACTGTGGTAGCAAGCGACACCATCTTGTCCTGAAAATAAAAATGTTTGTATAAGAAACCGTTTTCAGTGAAAAGGAGATCACCAGATTTCCGGACTAAAAAGCGTGGGTACGATAATTTGCCATGTTTGGATAGCTATTGATGCACTGGCGTGTAGGCAGTCGGGCAGGCAGTCGGGCAGGCAGGCGAGTAGGCAGGTAGGTAGGCAGGCAGGTAGGTAGGTAGGTAGGTAGGTAGGTAGGTAGGCAGGTAGGTAGGCAGGCAGGTAGGTAGGTAGGCAGGCAGGCAGGCAGGTAGGCGAGTAGGCAGGTAGGTAGGCAGGTAGGTAGGTAGGTAGGTAGGTAGGTAGGTAGGTAGGCAGGTAGGTAGGCAGGCAGGCGAGTAGGCAGGTAGGTAGGCAGGCAGGTAGGTAGGTAGGTAGGTAGGTAGGTAGGTAGGTAGGTAGGTAGGTAGGTAGGTAGGTAGGTAGGCAGGTAGGTAGGCAGGCAGGCGAGTAGGCAGGTAGGTAGGCAGGCAGGTAGGTAGGTAGGTAGGTAGGTAGGTAGGTAGGTAGGCAGGCAGGCAGGCAGGCAGGTAGGTAGGTAGGTAGGTAGGTAGGTAGGCAGGCAGGCAGGCAGGCAGGCAGGCAGGCAGGCAGGCAGGCAGGTAGGTAGGTACATGTAGGCAGGCAGGCAGGCAGGCAGGTAGGTAGGTAGGTAGGTAGGTAGGTAGGTAGGTAGGTAGGTGCATTAAGACAGAAGATACGCACTCGGGCAGGTAAATGGAGATAATCAGATTGTTATCCTACCTCTTTGCCGATTCCAGGCTTCTGAGAAATGCTTAGACACTCCTAGGGGCCTTCACCCTATATAGGTGCACAATTTGGCATGACATAAACATTTCTTAACCAATTAACTCAGCCATACATAGCTCGATTTCCACCAATCAACGGCAATTTCTACCAGGAAGAACTTTGAAATGATTGTCATACATGACCAAGTAGATAACATATCTGGTCATATTTCGGAAACAATAGCATTGGTGAATGAAGAATCGTGCAACCCACAGATCCTCCAGAAATATGTTCCTTGTTGGTAAATTGTGTAAGGGAATATGCCCCCCCCCGAGGGATATCGAATAATACTGCTAGTCAGGCGAAAATAAAAACTAGTTGACTTGGGGAACCCCCCAGAATCCCCCCGTTGGTTTCTGTATGACATACCTTTATTGTAGATCTGTATGGAACACCTGTATGAAAGACTTACATGACGGACCTGTATGACAGACTTGTGTGACGGACCTGTATGGTGGATGTATGGCACATATGAATGGAAGACTTGTACGACGGACCTGTGGGACAGACTTGTATGACGGACCTGTATGACAGTCTTGCGTGACGGACCTGTATGACAGACTTGTATGACGGACCTGTATGGCGGACTATATGGCAGATCTGTATGAAAGACTTTTGTGACCGAAGTGTACGACGGATATGTTTAACAGGTCCGTATGCAAGTCATCTTTGAAAGAAATGTATAAGAGACTTGTATGGCAACAACGAATACCAAATGTTTGTATTTTGGTATGACGCGGCCGGGTATCGAGCCACCGACGATCCGCTGTCTGGGCATTAGAGTGAATGAGTTTGATTTTACGCCGCTTTATAATTAAGCAATATTCCAGCAATATCACGGCGACACCAGAAATGGGCTTCTCACATTGTACCCATTTTGGGAATCGAACCCGGGCCTTCGGCGTGACGAGCGAAAGCTTAAACCACTAGGCTACCCGACCGCCCTATCCACTTGACCACAGAGGAGCATTCTTCTCGTTGCAACCATTTGTTTTGGCATTGTTGTCATCACTTATATCATAACATCATTTTGTCACATCTACATGAGACAGCCTCCTTGGTCTAGTGGATAGAACGTCTGCCCAGAGAGCGTAATGTCGGTAGTTCGATCCCCGGTCGCGTCATACCGTGAGACGTTAAAATATGGCACTTGTTATTATTACTCTGCCTAGCGCTCGGCATTAAGGGGCTATCGGCTCGGGGTCAGTATAATGTGTTTGAGTGGGGTATCAGTGGCAAACTGCGGCATGGTGTTTCAGCACTATAAATACTATCAAACCGGTATTAGTCCGGACAAAGGTAGCAGCCGCAAACACACACGTGCATGCACGTCGTTTACCACGTTTTGTTTGTTTGTTTGTTTGTTTGTGACGCCGCACCCAGCAATAATCCAGTTGTATGACGGCGATCTGTAAATAATCGAGTCTGGACCAGACAATCCAGTGATTGACTTCACGAGCATCGATCCACGTGATTTGGATACAATGACATGCTTCAACCAAGTCAGCGAGTCTGACAACCCAATCCCGTATTTCGCCTCTTACATGTGTATTACAATCGTCACCATTGTTATCATGAACATCATTGTCAGTGACTGATATTATGAGCATCGCTGCAACGCAATCAACTAAATCCCGAGTCTGACCACCCGATTCATTAAGGGGCATATTACGACCATCGCAGACCCGAGAAGATCCGGGGTAGAATTTGTCTCCAGCAACAAATGCTTACCGTAAACGGCGACTATGCTTGTCGTAAGAGGCGAATAACGGGATCACTGGTTTGTCTAGTCCAGACTTGATTACTTACAGACAGCAATCATATAGCTGGAATATTGCTGAGTGCGGCGTCAAAGAAAGAAAGAAAGAAAGAAAGAAAGAAAGAAAGAAAGAAACAAACAAACAAATGACCATCACAGGTTGTTGCGGGCCTATTGTAACCAGGCATTCCCACGGGACTGTTAATACTGATAGTCTACGTGTCCACCAAATCAATCCCTTCATTCAACTTGGTAACCTCTTTGTTCAAGTGACTTCCTGGTGTATAAAGCATGCAACATGTTGCAGACATAGACAGTTCTCATAGTCCTAGGAATATAGTTCCTGCAATAAATACCGCCTAACGTGACAGTAGAAGTAGCAGATGTTGGGATCTATTTGCTTATATGAGAACACGGATGGACAATAAGGCACGCAGATACATTTGTGTATACTTTGTCAGGGCCTACACATGGTTCATTTATGGAGTTTGAAGGCATTTGTTTCAGCTACAAAACCAGATATTTTGTATCTACAGCTATGAGCCTGAATGCTTTAAAGCAATCACCTTGTAACAATTTTTGTGGCAGGCCACTTTTTGTCAACAATCTGAAGCATAGTTATTTTTTCCAAATTTTTCGTGGATAATATTTTTGTTTGGATAAAATATCAGGTATCAAAATGTCGGTCCCTTACCACGCTGCTGTATACAGAGAAAGCTAATGAAGTAAATTGATAAGATCGTTGCGGGCTTTACATGCGTGGTTATGTGCATGCGTTTGTATTTACTGTTATATTGCATGCACAATGTTTCACCAGCTTTCACACCGCGAGGGTCCACTAGCTGCATGCTTTGTGAGTGAGTGAGTGACGCGGAGTGAGTCGCGCGTGAGCGCCCAAAGAGTTTATGTTGAAGGGGTCCTGACGTTGTTCTGACGTTGACGTACACTTCGATCGAGTTCATCCCAGAGGTGTTCGATTGGGTTGAGATCTGTATATCTCGACAGCCAGGGCGGGTCGTTGATGTTGGCATTATGAAGGTAGTCTACCGTGACAGCGGTGGAGCGTTGTCCTGTTGAAACAGCTCCCTCTGGCCGGCAATGATAGGAAGAAGGTGAGGTTGAAGAATTTGATTCATGCAGCGATTTGCTGTCAAAGTTCCCTGAACCACAACCAAGTCAGATCTCGTGGTGTAGTATTTGCCCCCCCCCCCCCCCCCCCCCCCACACCATGACCATACCGCCACCGAAATTGTAGAGTTCACGTACACAATGTTGGGCAAAACGCTAATTTCGACGACGATAAACACGTTGTCTTCCATCTCGCCGGGGAGGAAGATATCGTGATTCATCGCTAAACCACACTCGTCTCAAGTTTCTCAAATTCCAAGGCTGTAAGGTATGGTGTCGATGGATCTTTTGTAAAACAGGGACGATAACTGGTCTTCTGGGTCGGATTCCAGCCTCGCGAAGATGGTTCCTGACAGTCTGGTCCGATATCCTCCTCAAACCAGGGATGCGTCCTGCAGTCTCCGTAGCTGTAGCATTGCGATGACGTAGGTGGAACAGTCGAACGTAGCGACCCTGTGCAGGGGTGGTAACGTTCTCGGGCGGTCTGCAGTGGAATTGAACTGTGTGTGTTTCGGTCACAAAGGCGGCATATGGTGCTGTGGCGGACGTTGAAGTGGCGTGCAACAGACGACTGCGATTCCCCTCTTTGGATACGTCGGCCTATGGCTACAAAGCCTGCATCATTCATAGCCTGAATCGATGTCTCTCTCAGGTTTCCCTTTTAATGTTATTTTCAGACATTGAGGAATTCCCCCAAAGTAGTTATGTATGTCTCCGCCCGATTGACAACGTAATCACGTGACATGCTGACGTTCATCGGGAAATGAACGACAGTCAGCTTGGAAGTGTACACCTAGGCGAAGTCACCCGCTACTGTCAATATTGTGACGTAAGGTCGGAATGACGTCATACTAGAAACGACGTCATAGCTGAAGACATTCGACAGTTGTTGTTTTTGAGGACAGCAGTCTTGATCAGTGCATGTATCTAATGGGGAGCAAACTCATGTATTACCCTCGCTCTCGCTCGGGGATTACAAAAATTCTGACATTCGTTTCGTTATATCATGCTCGTGTAATAATCTCTATGTTGATGATATTCGTCGCGTATTTATTATTAGTAACATGATGCCAACTCACATACAACACATGCAGAATCCTGTAATCGGCAAGGCCCACTTTCACAAAGCCATCTTAGCGCTACGACTATCGTAAGTATATATGTTAACGTATAGGAGTAACGATCGTCGTAGCGCTAAGATCGCTTTGGGCAAGTGAACCTGATTTTCAGTCAGCCATACATCAGGACAATAATATATAGTTTGCATTGAGCGATATTTTAGGTTTATAACGGCGGTCTATAAATAATCGAGTCTCGAACCAACAATCCAGTGATTGACATCGTGAGCATCAACCCGATGGGGATACAAAGTCAGCGAGCCTGACCACCCAAATGCCGTTAGTCGCATCTTCCGACAAGCATGGGTTGCTGAAAACCAAATATAACCCGAATCTTTATGAGTCAGTAGTGAGTCATCGTGATGAAGCAAATTTGAACATTCAATCACAGTCATAGACTGACAGTCACACAAAGGCAGATAGATGCCTACACCCTGGTTTCATAGGTACGTATTAATTTTTCAATTCAAATCGGGGCGGTCGGGTAGCCTAGTGGTTAAAGCCTTCGCTCGTCACGCCGAAGATCCGGGTTCGATTCCAGACATCCTATTTCTGGTGCCCCCCCCCCTCCCCCCCCCCCCCCCCCCCCCACCACCCCGCTGTTGCTAGAATATTGCTAAAAGCGACGTAAAACCGTACTCACTCAATATCAAATCGTCATGTCTACACTGCCAACACAAATCTGACCTTTCTGAGTGAGACTATCTGGAGTCAATAATTGTTTAATAACGACTGCAAGTGCATAAATTATTGACATCCGGCAGGCCAGCAATAATGGGGACCGTTAAAGGTTGTCCGTTAAAGGTTGGTTAAACCGTTGGCTGAACATGGCGGCTGTGCGTTTCGGACTTGTGCTCTCGGTGCTACTTATCCTCCAGACGGTAAGAAATACATGACTGATTGTGTTTTTCGCTAGAACTTTTGCTTTCCCTTTATTTATCGGGACGTTAATGCATCTGACGAAGCTGACTAAAGGAATGTTGACAGTACGCGGTGCTGGGATTTGTCCGATAAAATAATTCGACACGTATGTCTTTGAACCGGACCCCCCCCCCCCCCATTTTGTCGTTACTCGTTACGAGCAGCACCGTGCTTGAGGTCTAATGTAACACGAGTTATAACGCTAAATGTTAGTCCTGCGCTGCAAGGATAAGGAAAGAATGCTTGCACTGGCTGAAACGTCTTTATATTCCATATGTCTTTCCTTTAGGACGAACATACAACTGATGTGGTCTGAATGCCAAGTTAAGCATAGCATTTTATAAAGATGGCCTAAGACTGAGTTTGTCTTGTAATGGACGATGGGATACAGTGGTTACAGTGTTCACTCGTCACGCTGAAAATCCGGGTTCGATTCCTCACATGTACATGGGTAAACCAAGCTTGTTTTACCATCGTATGATTGCTGGAATATTGCCAAAGACGGAGTTAACCCACTAATTCCTCCTCTCCAGGTGTCTGTCTGTAGGGGTGTTCCGGTAGTGACCGGTGTCCAGTCGTCCGTTGAAGGGGACATGCGGAACATTACAATCAGGTACCAAGCAGAAACACGGCCCGTCGTGCTGTGGAAGGTCGGATCTTTTCTCAGCCGTAAGTACTAAATCTTATAGTGTTTAAAGAGGTGTGTGCAGGTAGGTGCGGTGGGTTAAGGTAGAAGTTAAAGGGGTCACTAAAATACCTACTGTCCGGGTTCGAATTCTGACATGTCTTCAATGGGTGAAGCCCATGTCTGGCGTCAGCCGTCGTGGTATTCCTGGAATAGCCTTAACAGTGTCATAGCATCCTTCTCACACCCTCTCTTGTGTTAATGCAGTTTGTAGAACTCAAATGCTGCCAGATCTGGATATCGCAAACTGCAAACGGGAATACTTAAAACAATTGTCAACTCGTTGCGTAATGGTTCACATATATTTCCCAATATATAATATATATTTCAGATGCAATTTAAAGCACATCGTGACGTTCGGATTTATACAGTATGATTGAACACATTTAACTGTGTCTTGGGTATAATTTTAGATGCAAGACATCAAAAATTATTTCTGAGGGATTATTTGACAAAGAACTCGAAATCATACGCGCATTCTGATTGGTTTGTCGTATTTTCGCACATAACTTTTATCGATAGGGGGACGAGTCTTCTTGAAGGTCACGGAAAGGGGCTAGTGGTGACGAATGTGCCTTATCCTGATCAATTGGAACGATTTAACGTAGTGTCCTAGCAAAAGCCCTTTTTGGCCTCGTTTGTTGTTACCAAATACGGCCAAGAGGCGGTTGGGTAGCCCAGTGGTTGAAGAGTTCAGTTCCATGTGTAAAGCCCATTTCATGTGGCCCCCGCTGTGATGTTGCTAGACTATTGTTAAAAGCGGCGTAAAACCATACTCACTCAATCACTCCAAATACCGATCAAACTACATGTTTTCGGGGGTTTCAAGTTACAATACAGCTGTTAATCAGCTTTTTTGCAATAAGGGTCTGTCTCCAGATTACATGATGAATTAATAAAACATTACATTTAAAATGGTACTCAGACATAACCTTTGAGAAAAACCCGGTCGTATTTGTTTCATGTATGGATGTTATTCCGATCATTTTTCGTGATTTTCAGATTTCGGAAACACAACCCATACCTTTTCTGACTCGGAAGGGGAAGCAACTCTTCACATGTACATAGACCCGCAACTTAATGATTTCAGAGAGGATATACTGACTTGCATCTATGGAGACAGCTACGAAATAAACTTGGTCTTCGTCAAGGATGATATTATTAACAGCCGGTTAGAGCGCAACAACATCACCCCGTTGGTGTTCAGTTCTCAGCCAGATGGCATCGTCAACTTTGATGAAGACGAACGGGTGGACATTGATCTGTCTATTGAGTCCGAGAACCTAGGACTGTTCGAGATCTATTTCACTCTGGGGATGCTAAACTCTTTTGATTACAGATCGCTCCCTCCATTAAATACTTACATTGAATCAATTCCCGTAGTAGAACCCAGGCACTCGTTTATCTTACCGGATCTGAACAACAGTCGCGCGTCGACTGTGGAGCATACTTTGGCTTCTATCGACACATCCTACCCTTACACGGAAGGGGAGGTCAAATTTGTAGTCGGGTTAAGAGTTCGCTCTGCATATAGCCTTCTCGATAGAATAATAATCAGACGCTGGGTGTATCTGAAGAATCGTGGACACGTTTCGCCTTTTTGGAACAGTGTAAGTTTGGTTGATGACCCTCAAAACAGGCACAATAATGAAATAATTCACACGAGATTTCCGTACACCCAGATTGATGCCATAGGGTATCCGAAACCTGTTCTGAAGTTGTTCCGCGATTGTCGCGAGATTACAGAGCCGGAAGTTGAGATGATCACAATCGGAACTCCCTATCGTACCCGAAAGATCTTCCGGTTCAAGAACGTTACAGACTCTTTGCAGGGAACCTATTACGCAAGCGCGTCGAACGGGCACAACCAAGTCACACAAATGTACTATATACAAGTCCTGTGATGACGTACCGAAGGGGCTAAGTTGATGCTCTGTAAGCCTTCCACATGCAATGAAGTTTAATAAATTGGTTCCTGTTCAAGATAGTGTTTTTGTTTGAAAATTTTGCGTTTTGTGAAGGTATGTCAGCCATTTGCAACTATGAAATGTACGAAGACTCAGCTTAAAAGTTTGCTGAATTCGGTGCAGAATTATCAAAACTTATTTTGCAGAATTTACACACAATTACCGCAGAGTTTTGATTTGTGGCCATCGAAACAGCAGCACTACCTTTTTGTAAGGAAAGCCCAAAATGACGTCATAGATTGTAACTGATGTGGCGAAACCATGCATCTGGGTATGTGGCTGATCAAGGGTCATAATCGGGTCGAGTCTGGGATACGAATCCCCGATCATATTATTCTGTCATGTCTAAGGGACGCAACTCAGAACCCTCCTTTACAATATGATAGTGAGTGAGTGAGTTGATTATAACGCCGCTTTTAACAGTATTCCAGTTATATAGCGGAGTGTATAATTTATGTAGGAGGAAAGCCCGAAGTGATGCAGGTCTCAAACGTTTACCACTTCGGTGAAACCAACGAGCACGGTTATGGTGCTGACAAACCTAGAAATATAATCGGGGCCCACCGGGATTCGAACCCACAATCATTGGTTTCAGGCGTGCCCAAGGGAAGCAACTCTGCACAGCAAATCGCGGCGCCTTACACGACTGGGCCACCCGTGCCCCCTTACAATATAATAAAATAGGTGAGGTTATTAAATTACAACAGTGTAACATGTATCAGTCTTCAATAGAGGTGCAAGCTAGATTATAAATGATAAACAACGTCAAAAGGGTATCGAAACATGATTATATTGATGATGGTATTGCATGAATACATACGGGTTCTGACTTTAGCTACACAACGTCCGTTTGGGCTCGTCCCTCTAATCAGGGATGGATAGATTCATTAAAGTATATTCTGCCCACATCTGCGACACACACAGACACACACAGACACAAACACATACAGAGACACAGACACACAGGCACACGCATACACACACAGACACACACACACACACACACACACAGGCACACAGGCACATACACACAGGCACATACTGACACTCACACACACAGGCACATACTGACACATATTGACACTCACAGACACACACACAGTCACATACATACACACACACACACACAGTCACAAATAATAAGAATATTGCATGGTCGGTCCCTCACGACATTCTTAACTAATTTGTTTACACACACACATCCATATACACACCCACACCCACACAGGCACACCCCCACACATACACACACACCCCCACACACACCCCACCCCCACACACAGACACACACACACACACACACACACACACACACACACACACACACACACACACACACACACACACACACACACACACACACACACACACATACACACACAGACACACACACACAGACACACAATCACACACACACAAACGCTTTCAAGCACACAGTTACACAATGATGATGAATCAACTGTAAAACATAGCCGTCCAATCATATTACGCTGTTTCTAATACAATTGTGAACTTCTGCTAGCATAGTAGAATATCCTCCCCTAGAAAAATACCTTTTACAGATAACGGTTCATTTACAGATTTCAGTTTTCCCATTAAGGGTCACGTCAGAACGACCTTTTATCAGACCAATCAGAGCTTCGCTTACCAGATCAGGAAAGTGACAGTCGGAATGCGTTTTCTAATCATGCAACCTCGAAAGGTTTAACACGGGATATTCCGAACGATAGTTTCGGGCTTGCAATAGAAGAATCCATACAATCTAGACCATCTATTAGCCATTCCATTATGTTCTTTTGTTCAGTTTTCAAATTTTTAAAAGTGAATTTGTCAAAATATGTTTCGAAGCCGTAAAGCACGACAAAGATACCTTCTGTTTAGCTAATGTCGACTTTTTGTCACTCATTCCATTGGTCGGTCAAAGTTGGGGAAATGTCGGTCTGACGTGACCCGTCATGGGATGTCCTCAGATCTTTGTTTAGAGGTTTGTTTGTTTGTTTGTTGTTTGACGCCGCACTCAGCAATATCCAAGCTTTATGACGGCCGTCTGTAAATAATCGAGGCTCGACCAGACAAATCCGGTGACTGACATCATGAGCATCGATCAACGCCATTGGGATACGATGACATGCGTCAACCAAATCAGCTAGCCTGACCACCCGATCCCGTTAATCGCCTCTTACGACAAGCACAGTAGATTTATTGGAGGCGTGTGTGGTTGGTGTTGTTGGGGGGTGCGTGTTGCTTGAATGATGCATGCGCTCACACCCATGTTTTTGCGTCGCTGTCTCAGACATATGCATCCGGAACCACCCTGCAACTGTGGTCACGACTGCGAGGATCCGTATCACTATATATGCTCATGATACAGTCGGAATTTTACGGCAAGAATGGGTTGCTGATTGCGTCCCGGATCTCTACGGGTAGTTTGTTCAGGTGAACAGTTGACTTGCCTATGCGTGCGTTTGTGACTGGTGCCGTGGATGGGGCAGGATGGTTTACGCTCACCTTTTCGCGAACACCTGGTGTCATCACTATTTTGATAGTGAGTCACGAACATGTTTTGATTATGTCGTAATCGTACAATTGAATCAGTCTGCTTTTAGTATAGATTGCTTATGAATATGGAAATATGTGTCGCTTTTATTTATTGTGTTTATGGAAAAAGTTTTCTCGTTTATATTTAATATAAGTTGCCGATGCAAGAAAATAACCAGTCTAGATTATTCACCGAAACAGATTCCATTTGGCGTAAAGGGCAAAAGAGCTGTTCAAAATTTATGAATGGATCACTGAAAATCAGTGATGACACCAGATGTTCGCGAAAGGTGTAAGCATGTCCTGCCCTATATATAAAAACGTGTTGAACCGGTTATGTTATCTATTACCAGTTGTTGCTGATGTTAATCTGCGACTCATCACAACATATTATATATACCTCTCATCGCTTGGTTGTTACTCCAGCTTAATAACGGTGTAAGCATCTACATCGAAACGTCGCTATATGCAATAAACCAGAAATAGTTATCCATTACGTTGTACGTCTTCTTACTTACTCACCAACTCCTAGAGTGCCAACCAAACAGTCAGTTATGTCTTTTGGTGTGTTTTTTAATGTTTATAGAGTATCATATTTATATTTTATTTCTTCATGGAAATGTTTGTATGGTACCTCTCCTTGTGCGTGTGTATTATGTGTTGGGTTGATAAAAGTGGGTCAACGTGCATGTTTTTACACAGGCAAAGTTGAAAAAATGAAACAGCTTCGTATGTATAATAAGAATAAAAAATATCTGTTTCGTATGCAGGAACCGATCTTGATATCAGGGTTCTGTTAATGAGTTCTGCATGTACATACATTTTACACGCGGGATATTGACAAGGTCCCAGATTGCAGACAAGAATTCTCAGAGATTCGGCATAACTTTGTATATTCATTTAAGGCTGGTTATTCTCGAGAAGTGACGTTAAATATTTCCACAACAATGGTTGTTTACGTCATGAGTGGTAGTTGACATATATATATATATATATATATATATATATATATATATATATATATATATATATATATATATCAAGCACACTCTACCTTTTCGTGTAAGAAGGTCACATATACATCTGACACCTTCAGTACTGTATTTTACAAAAATGTGAATAATTTTACCATACTCAGGATGTGCAAAAGGTAGGCTAGACCGATATGCATCTCCCGCTCTGAACAGTGATGGATAATTGGCTTTTATAAACTCCTCATGCAAACAATTGTCTTGAAACAAACACCAGAAACCGATGCATAGTAATAAATGAGAACGTCTGTTCGGCTTCAAAAGTGGCAACTTCATCCTGAGAGAGAGAGAGAGAGAGAGAGAGAGAGAGAGAGAGAGAGAGAGAGAGAGAGAGAGTCCAAGTTGTTTTGTTGAATGTCATGCCCGACGGTGTTTTTCACCGTCATTTTTATTTTGCCATTCAGCAATGCTAAGCATCTCCCAGAGTTGCTGACTTATGCTCTTTAGTCCCGTGCCACAGCGAGGTGTTGTATAGCGCAGCGATGGACAGCGCTGGATAGCACTGGGTAGCACTGGATAGCACTCGGCCTAAGCAAGGTGACCCTTGGTTGTGCCCACACAGTCATGTCACTATGATAATTTGCAAAATGGGGTCAAATTCACTCTCGATTTCACTTAATGGTTGGAAAGTGATATATTATAACGTGAATTTGGAATGATTCATATCCGCTCGTTATATATAATGATATAATGCGAGCCTTGTTGTTTCCGCTAAGAGAGGAACATTTAGAAGTATGGCTTCCACACAGGTAGCGCTGCTGCTAACGCTGCTCCTGGCAGTCGTCCATGGGGTAAGTTTAAATTTCAAATATTCGAAGTGCATTTGTTTGGGTTAATATGAATATATCTGATAACAATCCATTATGATTAATTCAAAATATGTACAAAATATTGACGAATTAAGTATGTTCTATACATCTTAATGTTCAGGTGGTTAACACGTCTTGAAAGTATTTGTACTTTTCTAAATGTACTTTCTATCTAAATGTAGAAATCAAACAAAATATAGAAGAATGTGTTTGTTATGATTGCATGCTGGTGAAGGGCTACACACAGTTATCATTCAGAGGTGTAACGAGATTTTGAACTTTTGAGGGCAATGATTGCAAAAAACGTTGTATTTTTAACCAGTCTTGTTTAACAGAGAATGCAAATTTGAGGCTTTGTAACAGTTTGTGATGAGTGTTCCAAGATCGAGAAAAGAACATATTTCATAACAGAAAGATACGTGATATGTATCATTGTTTATTTTAAAATATAAGATAGCTACGTGATAAATCGCAAGGAACAATGAAGCACGAAGTGTTGTTTATTTCACGATAAAACCTTGTTCTTTCATGACGTCATTTCTGGAGATTCGAACATGCGAGCAACTTGATGATAATGTTGATATCTCAAATAAGAAATAAATGGCGAGTGGTCGTTGTTTGTCGTACAAGAAAACACTGCAGGGGGAATAAGCCATGGGTCACGGGTGGCCCAGTCGTCTAAGGCGCCGCGATTCGCTTTTCAGAGTTGCAACCCTTCGGCTAGCCAGAAACCTATGAATGTGGGTTCGAATCCCGGTCCGCCCCGATTATGTTTCTAGGTTTGTCAGCACCATACCCGTGCTCGTGTGTTTCCCCGAAGTGTAAACGTCTAAGACCTACATCACTTCCGGCTTTCCTCCCACATTAAGCTGACATGCCGTGATATAATTGGAATACCGTTAAACGCGGCGTTAAACACAACTCACTCACTCACTCACTTTATGTGATTTTGTCTTAAACGGTGTATCGAGCTGATGGTGGGTCTCTGTTTGGTTCAGCTCTCTTCCTCAACTTTTGAAGAATACCAAGAACTCTGGATCAAGCCAAAGACGATATATCTTGCTAATGACAGAGGCGCTGTGAACGTCACCGTTAGATATGATTCTCCACGGGATGTAACCCCGTTATGGTGGCTCAATGGAAACCTCGCTGTGGGTGAGTTATCTCCCTTTGTTTGTAAAACGACCGTTGTTATTCCGGAACCCTCTCATGGCCATTTTTAGCGACCGGGCTCCGTCTTAGCGCAAACAGGCATACCTAAAAAGATTGTCACTCGTTGTGTAATGGTTCACAGATATTTCCCCAATGTCATATATATTTCAGATGCAATTTAAAGCACATCTGGACATGCGTATCCATACAGTATGATTGAAAACATTTAACTGTGTTTTGGGTATATTTTTAGATACAAGACATATGTAAAATAAAAAAAATATTTCTGAGAGATTCTTTGACGAAGAACTTGAAATCATACGCGCATTCTGATTGGTTTGTCGTATATTCGCACATGACATTCATCGACAGGGGGACGAGTCTACGGAAAGGAGCGAGTGGTGACGAATGGATCGTTGATCTTCGTTCTCTGATATTATTTTCACGTGCATATCAGGGACAGATACAGGGGATTAGGGGACGCAGCACTGGACAACCCCGACCCATTATGATATTTTCAAATGGACCACAATGACATGGACAAAAATATAGTACCTTTCCAAAATGAAAGGCCCATGCACCTTCAAAATTGGTTGGTTGGTTTGTTGTTTAACGCCGCACTCAGCGATATTCAAGCTATATGACGGATGACTGTAAATAATCGAATCTGGACCAGACAATCCAGTGATTGATATCATGAACATCGATCCACTTTTTGGGGATCGATGACATGCATCAACCAAGTCAGCGAGCCTGACCACCCGATCCCGTTAGTCGCCTTTTACGACAAGCAGAGTCACCTTTTACGGCAAGAATGGGTTGCTGAAGACCTATTCTACCCCGGAATCTTCACGGGTCAGTTGACATTGGCGCCAGGCTACACTCTCAATAATATCGACGGACGTCACGAAATGAAAAATGTACTTATAATTATGTACTTTTAATTAAAATAACATGGAGAAAATCACATTCCATTGTCCGTTGTAGGATTCTGACAATATCCGATTCATAAGAACACTATCAAATATTCATGACACCAAGTTTTAGCGAAACGTAAAGCGTATCGCCTCCATTGCCCATTGTAATGACTTCTCATTTTTACCGAGAGATAATCGTAAACTAATATACACCTTTCTCACGCGGTGGCCATTAAAAGCAAGAACGAGGCTCGATATACACGATCCACTTCCGGTTTCGCCATCTAATAGAAATATGTCACACGTATCATCGCTACCGCAGTGATCCATGAACTAGGAGTCTGGAGACATTGCCAATATTAAAGTCATCCGATATATATATATGTCTGGGTCACCGAGTGTCGGATTCCACGAGCAATGAAAAAGAAGGCATTTTTTGTTGAAATGTATGTTCACGAAGTAAACAAAAACGTAGGCTATCTACTTAACATTAGAATAATTGATTAACTGAAGGAAAAAAGTCATAATCGTATTTTTTGTCTCAAATATGTTCAATAGATCTAAGTGATAACTAGCTTAAGCATTTTCTAAATATTAATTCATATACCAACCTGGTGCAAAATATACATAGGCTAGCTGAAAACAAAATAACCATAACATTTTGTATATCGAGTCCTACATATATCTATCAATTATTTTTCAATAATTAATAATAATTAGGGCCCCATTTAACTTTTGTAAAATTTCAATCATATAAGGTATTGGCTGATTTTTTTTATTTCGACAGATGGATGCTTGTCGTAAAAGGCGACTAACGGGATCGGGTGGTCAGGCTCGCTGACTTGGTTGATGCATGTCATCGGTCCCAATTGCGTGGATCGATGCTCATGATATTAATCACTGGATTGTCTGACCGCCGTCATATAGCTGTAATATTGTTGAGTGCGGCGTTAAACAACAAACCAACCAACAACCAACCAATGTCAACTGCTAATGTTCGAACTTGCTATGGATACACCGGCAATTACAATGCGACGTGAAGATCCGGGGTAGAATAGGTCTTCAGCAACCCATGCTTGTCGTAAAAGGCGACTAACGGGATCGGGTGGTTGATGCATGTCATCGATCCAAATTGCGTGGATCGATGTTAGTGTTGTCAATCACTGGATTGTCTGGTCCAGACTCTATTTACAGACCGCCGTCATATAGCTGGAATATTGCTGAGTGTGGCGTTAAACAACAAACAAACAAGCAATGCGACGATAGTTTCTTACACTCCACAAGTGCTGACGAAAAAATGGAAACGATTGTTTTCTTTCCAGATGGTGATGAAGGTCTTAGAACTGACGTGACCAATCTCTTTTACGAAACGGCACACAATGGGGTTGATCATTGGTACACGACGGCGTCAATACGCATACCAGAGTCCTTTAATGTCACATCACTTCAGCTGCAGTTGGCAGGGAAAACCATCGACGTCTCCATCAGAATTACCGTAGTGACGCTAGCACCCGGGAAGTCCATGTTGGTAAGTGAGTGACTTGGTTGCGATTAACTCCGTTGGGAATAGTTTTGAAGATGTATCATGGTGTCTCATCTTGGTGTGGAAGGAAAACTCACACTGTGACATGTGTTAGGCCTACGAACATGTGTATGGTGCTAATGGATCAACGATCAGAATTGAGGCGAATCTGAAATTTGAAACCGGAGTTACTGGCAAATATCTTGTGGATACTTACACTTATATAGGCACTTACAGAAGGAAAAGCATACATACGTGTATGTACATGCTAATGTTTGTTGGATCAATTTGTTTATTTTCTTATGAAATGGCATTAATATGTCCACCATATTTCCATTCAATAATAACTTGAGACATATTTCGTAAACTCTTTGATTGTTTAGCTCCAGTTAAGAATTGTAGATGAACATACTCGTTGATAACATGCTTGTAAAATACACTTGATGCTTCTATAAATGATTAAGGCGACTATGCTTGTCGTAAAAGGCGACTAACGGGATCGAGTGGTCAGGCTCGCTGACTTGGTTGATACAGGTCATCGATCCCAATTGCGTGGATCGATGCTCATGATGTCAATCACTGGATTGTCTGGTCCAGACTCGATTATTTTAGAGATCGCCGTCATAAAGCTGGAATATTGCTGAGTGCGGCGTTAAACAACAAAGAAGCAATAAATGATTAGTTTCTTTTTCTGGGAGGGGTATTTCTTCCCTTGATTTGTCCCGCTACTTTGAACACCTTTCATTGTTTTCTAGGAGTATATACCCAAGTACGAGTATAAAGTGAGTCCAAAGGATCGTGTCACCTACAACCCCGGAGACTCCCTTTTATTCCGTACTTCCTTTGAAGCAAAGGACATTGCCCGTGGCACGTGGGACGGACTTCAAGTGGAGTTCACCACCATCGACAACTGCCTAAGCCCTCCACAAATCCAGACCAAAACAGCCGTATCTGACCCCGCATTCCTTGCAGTCACCACCCCAACACGCGATGATAACCTCAATCTCGACGAAATGTTTGCTATTGGAAATCCAAAGTACAATGTGCGACGTTTGAACGTGACCTACAACTCATCCGATGACCTACCCCGGGGAATACTGAAACTCACCAATGGGTACAGTTTAACAAGGTCATGCGTATTGTTTGCAGGGGTCAAGGTCACAAATATGGTGTTCCTCCAACCACCACCCGATTCCTTTATGTTTGCGGAAAAAGAGGTAGCTCTTGAACAGGTGAAGAAAAATTACTATGTTGAAAATGGCAAGAACATCGATGTAGGATTCAAGGCTGTCGGCGGGAGTGAGGCGAGTGAAGGTTGGAGGGAACCATTGTATGAATATCCGAAAATCAGGCTGACAAAAAAGAAGCAGGCGGTACACCCAGTTGTTGATATTAAACGCTACTTCGAAAGAGAGGTTTACTTCCGGTTCCGGTCTGTAACTTCAGAACAAGCAGGGAAATACTTGTTAGTAGCAAAGATGAAGTCACGTAACGGAACAGGCAGTGCAAAAGCCGATTTCAACATCAATGTCCTTAATGTCTGTTGATTAAATATTGGTCAATTTAATAAATTTGAATGTATAAACTTGTGGTCAAAAGAAAGTAATCACCCATGTTTGATGGTCAATAAAATGAAAACGAAGAAAATATTATTCAATGATTGTGTATTCGCTAAAAGGATCACATGCGATAGTCCATGCACAGTGGGAAACACAAAACGGGTGACCTGTACAGGACGTTTACATGAACATGGGGGTAGGCAGATCACAGTTCACAGGAATGATCAGTCAACCAGGTACTGTCGTGATAGGTTTGTGGTCTTTAACGGATACCTGGTACCCTCAATAATGAGTATGACCAACGTGTACATCAATGCACGCCCAGACTCGCCCAGACTCGTCAGCCACATGATGACGTAACCGGGAATCTGATTCCATCCAATTCTTACAGCGGCGGCAAGCTGTTGCTGGTTTGCTGGTGGGTTTGGACGTCTTCGGATCTGACGCTTCAGATGATCCCACAAGTGTTCACTTCGGTTCAAGTCAGGCGAGAGTGCTGGCCACGGAAGAACGTTGACGTTGTTCGTATGCAAGAAGTCCAGGAAGAGCCGTGTGTGGTCTAGCGTTGTCGTGCTGCAGGAATGTTACCTGTTGCTGTTGGCGAACGCATGGAAGCACCACGGGTTGAAGAACATCGTCACTGTATCGCTGGCCGTTGAGGTTGCAACGGATGCTGACAAGTCTCATCCGTGGGTTGCCACAAATTCCACCCCAAACCCTCACACCACCTCCACCATAGGGATGAACTTCTTGAATGCAGCCTGGTACCAAACGTTCCCCCCTGCGACAGTATTCTCGAGCTCTACCATCATTGTGAAACAGCTGAAACCAGGCTCCGGCTGCAATCACTATCCAGTGGCACAAAAAGAGTGTAGCATTAGCTCTGTGAGCTACAATTTAAAACTTACAATTGGTCCGGACCAATTCTTAGATTGCCGAGATCGTTATTGTTCCTGGACACAACTTGACAAAATGGCGTGCAGAAAGGGTCTGTTTCCCAACATTATCTGCTCTATCTGTTCAAACTTTGCCTTTTTATTTTGTTAAACGGTATGATTCGAATCGACACTTCAACAACACGAAGAACGCACCACAGATTTAACGTCAGAAATATCGTTATTTGCGGTAGTGAACCACATAACTATCGAGTCGATAGCTAAGTGAGTGAGTGAGTATGGTTTTACGCCGCTTTTAGCAATATTCCAGCAATAGCACGGCGGGGGACACCAGAAATGGGCTTCGCACAATGTACCTAAGTCGGGAATCGAACCCGGGGCTTCGGCGTGACGAGCGGATGCTTTAACCACTTGGCTATCCGATAGCTAAGAGTACAATTCCCACCTGACTCAATGCTGAACGAGGTGTGAAAACAACATACCTTTTCGCTAATCAAGGGAAGGATAAAAACATTTTGTGTCTGTTAGCGATAAATAACTTACGCATACTTTTGGACAACTCAAGGGCAGCTAATCTTGTTTTATTCTCTAGAGAGTAATGGTGTCCCTTTGTATATGCCCTCGTATCAACCTTGACTAATGTATTGATATTGTAAAATAGCTGAGCTCCCACAATATTTCCTTGGGTCAAATTCGTGACAGTGATTTTGTATTAAGTTTATTAAAATGATTTACAATTAAATACAAGGCGAAGTGCAAACTCATACGGGTTTCTATAATCATTCTAAAATAGTCAATCGAGAGGAAAGAGGGACGAACAGGTTCAATGTATATATGAATTTTATATAAACAAAACGTATTCATTAAACAAGGGAATACATTTGATCCTGACAAGACATTTACGGGGCGTAATAAAATATGACTCATCAGGTTCAGCTGCAAGAATGAGAGACAGTTGTGAAAATCTGTTGCGCTGTCTGAATGGTTGAGACAGCGGATCGGTTAACCAAGTAGTATTCAAGTACAAACCAAGTATTATCCAAATACTATTCAAGTACTATCCAAGTATTATCCAAGTACTAAACAATCATTATCCAAGTACTAACCAAGTACAAACCAAGTACTACCAAGTATTATCCAAATACAAAACAAGTATTATCCAAGTTCTATCCAAGTACTATCCAATCACTTTCCAAGTACTTAGCAAGTAATATTCAAGTAATATCCGTGTACTTACCAAGTACTGATCAAGTATTATCTAAGTGATATCCAAGTAATATCCAAGTACTAACCAAGTACTATAAACTATTATCCATGTACTAACCAAGTACTGACCACGTATTATCCATTTATTATCCAAGTACTAAAAATCATTATCCAAGTACTAACCAAGTATTATCAAAGTACTAGCATAGTATTATCCGAGTACTAAACAACTATTAACCAAGTATTATCCAAATACTATTCAAGTACTATCCAAGTATTATCCAAGTACTAAACAATCATTATCCAAGTACTAACCAAGAACAAACCAAGTACTACCAAGTATTATCCAAGTTCGATCCAAGTACTATCCAATTACTGTCCAAGTACTTACCAAGTAATATTCAAGTAATATCCGTGTACTTACCAAGTACTGATCAAGTATTATCTAAGTGATATCCAAGTAATATCGAAGTACTAACCAAGTACTATCAACTATTATCCATGTACTTACCAAGTACTGACCACGTATTATCCATTTATTATCCAAGTACTAAAAATCATTATCAAAGTACTAACCAAGTATTATCCAAGTACTAGCATAGTATTATCCAAGTACTAAACAAGTATTAACCAAGTTCTTACCAAGTACTGACCAAGTATTATCCAAGTAATATCCAAGTAGAAACCAAGTACTATCAAGTATTATCCAAGTACTAACCAAGTACTATCAAGTATTATCCAAGTACACAACAAGTATTACCTAAGTGATATTCAAGTACTAATCAAGTACTATCAAGTACTATCCACGTACTAACCAAGTACTGACCAAGTACTTACCAAGTACTAACCAAGTACTAGCAAGTACTATCCAAGTAATAACCACGTACTTACCAAGTTTTATCCAAATAATATCCAAGTAATAACCAAGTACTATCAAGTATTATCCAAGTACTAACCAAGTACTAAATACGTTTTCCCCATGTTAGTAATTCCAGTACCCAATGTACTTGAAGGACGCCGAATGAACAGAGATCCAACAGAGTATTACCTTGGCGAGAGTGATCGTTGCTCATACATTCAGTCAATGGTGTGCCTGGTCAAGATTCCACGTCAGCGTGAAAACGGTGCAATAAATTAAGACGTCAACGCCTTTATTTAGGAATGCATGTTGTATCTCGATCATACGACACACACACGCGCACGCAACACGAACTCATAAACTCATGCACACATGCACGCACACACAGACACACCCACCCCAAAACACACACACACACACACACACACACACACACACACACACACACACACACACACACACACACCGGCAGAAGCCTTAACACACACATAAGCGCGCGCACACACGCACGCACGCACACACACACACACACACACACACACAAATGCTCACCGCGAACAACTTATCTGAATATTCAAGTGAGTCTATTTCCTAATGAGTTCTGACATTCCTCCCGATTTAAACATGCATTGAACTGAAGATACAATTTGGCACCTTGGAGCCACGTTTTAAACTGGAAACCTGACCTGAGATTAGTATGACATATACAACAAGTACTCCGATCTCTCCCCAAGATAACAGTATAACAAATCAACAAACACAGTCTAAATACACGGAGGGTCAACGCAAACTGAATGCATAAACAGATTTACCACAATATTTCAACTAATCTCACACAGCTAGTAATTCCAGTTATCATTGAACGTTCTATATAATAATAGTATAGTCACTTCACGCTCATGACGTCCGTTTATTCAGAATGATTCTGGGCCACTCAAATGAGCGACGGTCTAGCGATCGGCTTATTTTGTTTACAGTTGTCATTGACAACGACAGCCAATATGGCGGTGGCTATTTTCGGATCGGACCTCTTGTGCAAGGCATGGGTAGATTGCTGTGTTATGTACATGTAAACATTAGAGTATTACTTTCCTTGGTTTGTAATAGCGTCTATTCGGACAGGATGAGCAAAGTTTCCCACATCGACTGATTAAGGTAAGTGGTTGTCTAACAGAAGGTTTTGTCTGTGGCAGGGGGAGATTGGGTACATGAATGTATGCTGCGAAGGGGCGATTATTAATTATTAAGCGTGAATACTGACATCGATTTCTTTGCTCTATTCAGCACTGGCCTCATTTCCCAAAATGCGTACAGTTCCTTTTGCAGTGAAATCTCATTAGTCCGGAAACCCCGTATTCCGGACAAATCCTGTATTGAACGTCTATACATGAATATATTATGGGGAGTTACCAGGTAGTCTTAGTTTGTTTATCTGGAATTTCGTCTATACTCAGTTGCACTGGGAATTGATTTGACGAGATTCACGGGGTGTCTCTACTGCGATTCAGCGTCTGAAGATTAGCACTGCTCCCCAACTGATCAGTATTGCGCAATGATCACGTACCCATCCGTACACTTGTTGTCATAAAGCTCAAAACGAGTGATGCAAGTCGACAAATCAGTGGGCCGTGACATTAAATTTATTTACAGAACTTGTTTGGAACATCCCTTTCACAACACTTTTCTATTGTCTTCATAGCGGCAGGTCATCTCAAGGGTCGATATTCTGTAAAACATCGTTAATCGTGAGTAAACACGGGCAGTGTGGTCGTCTGAGGCTATGTGCATATTTGCGTCCCTAAGGCGTGACAGGACCCTTTGATTCGCCATAATAGGACTCTTTTTGAGCACGGTACCCGTGCTCGTGGGTTTCATTACAGGGGTAAACCTCTGGGACCTTATCACTTCGGGCTTTCCTCCCACATCAAGCTCACTCACTCACTCACTCACTCACTCACTCACTCACTCACTCACTCACTCACTCACTCACTCTTAACGATACCGTTCCAAGTTGATCGCCGGTTTAAAACATAATATAGACAGCACTGTCCCTTTGTGTATATGCAGGCGTTCCAAGCAGTTATGATCCGGACCCTGGTTTCTCCTGGACTGCAGGGGCTCCCTCTAATGAGCTTTCATTGCAGATTTAAAAGTTTTTGTTTTGTTAAAATGTTTGTATTGAATATCATATGACAAGGGTCGGGTTAGAGATGAGGTGAGATTTGATCAGTGACATATTTTGTGAAAGACTACACGTTTTATCCTTTTCGTTTGGAACTGTTATTTAACGAATGATTAAACACATTAAAATTATAAAAAGTAGTTTAACAGTGAGTTGCCGGAGCCAAATATCCTTCAAAATATTCAGGTTAGGTCAGGCATGATAATCAGGTACTTAAAGCGTTCACTCACCATGACACAGACCGAAGTTCGAATCCAAACGTTGTGTGAGTCCCATGCGTAATGGGGGCGGTCGGGTAGCCTAGTGGTTAAAGCGTTCGCTCGTCACGCCGAAGACCCGGGATCGATGCCCGACATGGGTACAATGTGTGAATCCCATTTCTGGTGTCCCCCCTCCTGATATTGCTGGAATATTGATAAAAGCGGAGTATACTCACTCACTAACTCCCATGCGTGGTGACCCTGGAATCTTGTTGAAGGCGACATGAAAACTCATTGACTCACTGACTAGCTCACTGACTGACTCTTACACTCACTCACTCACTCGTTATTTAATCATGAGTTATATCAATTTCCTAATTAATCAATCTAATAATTAATCTGTATTACTTCAATACTACAATTATTATCACTGAAGATCTATCCAAATGGAGCCAAAAGAAACGACAAGTCAGTCCGATGCATCTACCTCGGGGGCTGCCCCTGCCCCTGTCCCTGCCCCCGTCCTCCCCCAGGATGTCCAACACGGGGCAGGGGTCGAGGCCCCACCCACCTATGAAGAAGTCATGGGCTCAAATCAATCGTCCGTTATCGAAGGACAACCAGAGTTACCTCCCCTGGCTTACATCGACATCATGCCTCGCTTCCTCAACGCAGGGAACATGCGTGCGAACATTGCGCCAGTCTTCCAGAAGTTCAGGTATGATTTTTTTAAGCATGTGTCGGTTTTATAGTGCTAGCCCAGCCCGGTGTTATATAACATGCCGCTGTTTAACATGGATTCCCCACTCAAACACAGTGGTTGGCTGGTTGGTTTGTTGTTTAGCGCCGCACTCAGCAATATTCCAGCTATATGATGGCGGTCTGTAAATAATCGAGTCTGGACCAGACAATACAGTGATTAATATCATCAGCATCGATCCACGCAAATGGGATCGATGACATGCATCAACCAAGTCAGCGAGCCTGACCACCCAATCCCGTTTGTCGCCTTACGACAAGCATAGTCGCCTTTTGCGGCAAGCATGGGTTGCTGAAGACCTATTCTACCCCGGAATCTTCACGGGTACAAACACAGTGTACTGACTCCAAACCGACCAGTCCATGTTTAATTCCCATAATGCCAAGCGCCATGCAGAGTAACAACAAGTACCATGTTTTACCGTCTTTTGGTATGACGCGGCCGGGGACCGAACCCCCATCCACTAGACCACGGAGGCGACTATTGATGTGGAGCATGCACTGTGGTGTGTATAACGTATCTGATAACTTGCACTTATATTAAATAAAGTTCAATATACAGTTCAATAGAATGACATGATAATACTTGTTTGATCAATATCAATCAGTTCAACGTTTCAGGTAGAAAATGCTGATGGAAAGGTACGCACATGCCTTGCATCAGGTATTTCGGCAATCAAACCACGGAATGAAGCCTCTGATTTCAAAATCACCTAGCTATTATTGTTAATTGTAATGGACTCATTTAATGTTCATGTATAAAATCATATCATTCATACCATATTTTCAGTTTACTTATATAAAGCACTCATTGTAATTTACTTCTCCAGTGACACATATTGGCTATATGCAATATTTTCAGCCACAGGTACATATTGGCTATATGTAATATTTTCATTGACAAACGCACATTGATTGCATGCGATATTTTCATTGACAAACGCACATTGACTGCATGCGATATGTTCAGCGACAAGCACACATAGATTGTATGCAATACTTTCAGTGACAAGCACACATTAATTGCATGCAATATTTTCAGTGACAAGCACATATTGGCTATATGCAATATTTTCAGTGACAAGCACATATTGGCTATATGTAATATTTTCAGCCACAAGTACATATTGGCTATATGTAATATTTTCATTGACAAACGCACATTGATTGCATGCGATATTTTCAGTGACAAGCACACATTGATTGTATGCAACATTTTCAGTGACAAGCACACATTGATTGTATGCAATACTTTCAGTGACAAGCACACATTGATTGTATGCAATACTTTCAGTGACAAGCACACATTAATAGCATGCAATATTTTCAATGACAAGCACACATTGATAGTATGCAATATTTTCAGTGACAAGCACACATTGATAGTATGCAATATTTTCAGTGACATTATGCAAGGCGCAAATCTGTGGCTTCAGGCGAACCCTGGCCTGGAGTGTTGGAAGTGCGAGACTGTTGAGAGGAAGGTGGATAAGGGTCCTTATATAGACCTGGAGTCTATGAAAATTCACAAATCTACTTACGGCTTTAATGTCTACGTACTAGGACTGAGGTATGTCATACAAGTGTTTCATTGAATATTTCATGAATGACCAAAATTCCCTATTTTTAGTTATGTTCCCGTGTTTGTGTGCAACCGGTCTGAACATAGCATAAAGGTGACGCAGTTCCAGTACAGCAAGAACCCAGTCTATACGTAAAGTGCCACATTGATGCCCGTAAAACGTGTGCACGCTCTCGGAAAATAAGGTGTTTTGCTGTGGGGATCATTGATGAGTTGCCTCCATTAACTGCTAGGATCCACTTGGATCCAAATTTGAATATCAATTGGATTTCAATTTGCAATATGTTTTCATGCTAATAACGCCACTAAATACTAAATACTTCGGCCATTTACGTAATATCGCCCCAATTTCGAGTCACTTTCGCAATACTTTAACGGCACTAATGCGATAGGGAGAGGAACTATTGAAATATAGTGTAATACATAGAGTTTATATTCCAGGAAAAACCGTAACTCTTTGTTTTATTTAGAATGTGGTTAACTCGGAAGCAGAACAACTCACCTCCACAACAACTCGGACTTCAGAATGTTGTGCCTGCCACAAAGGAAGTGGAAATACAGGCATACCAGTACCATGACATGTGCCACAACCCCCAGATGTATTACCTTGCCCAAAGAAGGGTGACGGATGTCATCACAACGTTTGAAGGACTTGCTAGCACAATCGATACGTTAAATGAAGACCTGAAGAAGTCGCCGCTACAAGGTTGTCGTATTGCTCCTCCTGTTTTTACCTCTTACGCTTATTTTGTTGTTTCTGTTGTTCTGGTATCATCACTATCTGACAGTGATTCACGAGTGCATGCTTATGATATACAGTCAACTACGGTTATAACGAACTCGCTTATAACGAACTGACGGATATAACGAACTTACTTTTTGGTCCCGACTATTTGCTGTAGTTATGCTGTATATATGCTTATAACGAACTACGGTTATAACGAACTAAAATTAGAAGTCCCTTTGAGTTCGTTATAACCGAGGTTTACTGTAGTCAGAACCATACAATCGACTCTGCTTTTGGCAATAATTTCTTATGAATTCGGATAGGGTTTTGTCGTTTCTTTTTTTATTAATAATGTCGGTACAAAATGAGTTTCAACTGATATTATGCAATGTATAATTTCAGAAGTTCATATTGAAATGGCTCCCAGGAAACACCTTATTATGGTAGACTGACAAAGACATTGCAGCGTTTTCTCACGGTCAATGATAGTATCTAGCTGGTATCTTCAATCACTTCCAAGCTGTTATTTTGCCGGGATTTACCCGTCACAGTATCTATCCAACAGCCTACAAACTTAGAAACTATAACGCAAATCAAGCAGTGATCGCTTAGGTTTATATTACGATTTAACATAAAACGTATTCGCTGAATATGCTTTTAAGAATATCTTCATGATCATATTAGATGAATTAATAATATTTCTGATTTCAGGGTCAGTCCTAAACATCGAGACAGCAAACATAAAGTATTCAGGATTCGCTACCGACCGTGACCCAGAGAAGACAAGCTTTGTTGAACTTGGAGCAAACAGAATGGGAATGTTTAGACGAAATTGTCAGATTATCAGGATCTTCTATGTCCTCGGGGCGCCTAAATATGAAGAAATACGTACGTAGAGAATGACTGAAATAGATATTTGTTCCTTCCATATTTGAGATCAGTAAGATTATTTTGAGCGTACGTCGTCTAAGGTCTTAATGAATAATGTCACATGAAGAGTAGTTTTAAAGTCATGTGATGTAGAAGATGTGATAATTCATTGAAAAGTATTAATTCGCAGTAAAATAAAGTTTCTTGGGATCAGATATGATTCACGTTTTGCATGCGTGCCCCGGCACACGCATGCAAAACGTGAATCATATCTGATCCCAAGAACAGTTTTTTTGTTTTTTTTTGTTGTTTAACGCCGCACTCAGCAATATTCCAGCTATACGACGGCGGTCTGTAAATAATCGAGTCTGGACCAGACAATCCAGTGATTGACATCATGACCATCGATCCACGCAATTGGGATCGATGACATGCATCAACCAAGTCAGCGAGCCTGACCACCCGATCCCGTTCGTCGCCTTATACGACAAGTAATGTCGCCTTTTACGACAAGCATGGGTTGCTGAAGACATATTCTACCCCGGATCTTCTCGGGTCCCAAAGACAGTTTGTTATCTTAGTATGTGGATTGCTCGATTGATTACAGACATGCAAGACATCGTCCCAGAGATCGTCAGACAGTCTGGACTTGTTGGTAGTGCGGTATTTGAACCGTTCAGTGGAGCTATACTTAAGGCACAAATGTGGCTTCAACAACAATCAGTAAGTACAACTATATAACACCAAGACGAAATTACAAGTTGGTTCTGGTAGCTAACTGTCTGTAAAGAGTTCATATGTGGTCTTACCGACATACAGTAAACTACGGTTATAACGAACACGCTTATAACGAACTGACGGATGTAACGAACTAACTTTAAGTCCCGACTATTTGCTGTAGTTATGTTGTATATATGCTTATTACGAACTACGGTTATAACGAACTAAAAATAGTAGTCCCTTTGAGTTCGTTATAACCGTAGTTTACTGTATAGTGTCACTAGACTGGTACAGCGGCATTCCTTGCGCGGTGTTTATTCATGTATTACTTCTTTATCCCTGTGGGTTTATGGTTTGAGTTTGAGAGTGGCTTATAACGCTTTGTATTATCCCATTCATATCGGGCCGGTTACAACGAGTAAGTGAGTTAGTTTAGCTTAAAGGGAGTCTTGGCCCAGTATAATAGGCGGACCTTTGATGGAACTCATTAAAATCCCGCTTTATATGGCTGTTAATTCAAACTCTATTCATGTTGATCTATCCAACAGTTAAGATTACCCTAAATATATACAGACAGTGTCAGAGTTTGACGCAAGTCCCTTAGTACGTCCAGATCGAAACTGGAGATGAACAGACCGAGAAGCAGAGTCCCCCTTTAACACAGCTTTGAACAGTAATTCAGTTACATCAGCTTAATGTGGAAGGAAAGCCCGAAGTGATGCAGGCATTTGACGTTTACAACTTTGGTAAGCCCCCGAGCACGGGTATGATGCTGACATAAGCATAATTAGTGCGCATCTTGGATCATAGGTTTTGTGGCACTCCTAAGTTGACCAAATCTGAATTTATCGAATTGCGGTGCCGTTGACGACTGGGCCACAAGTCTAATACCTGCTTGACGCCACGAGCGGGCTTCACATGTTGGACCCCATGGCTGCCCACCCACGATGTCACCAAGGTGACATGACATATAGACCGATGTGCGCTTGCACACATGTTTTATAGGGGGCACGGGTGGCCCAGTTGTCTAAGGCGCCGCGATTGGCTGTGCATAGTTGCGTCCCTTGGGCACGCCAGAAACCTATGATTGTGGGTTCGAATCCCGGTTCGCCCCAATTATGTTTCTAGGTTTGTCAGCACCATACCCGTGCTCGTGGGTTTCACCGAAGTGGTAAACGTCTGAGACCTGCATCACTTCCGGCTTTCCTCCCACATTAAGCAGACACGCCGCGATATAACTGGAATACTTTTAACAGCGCCGTTAAACCCAACTCACTCACTCACACATGTTTTATGTTCCTGGGCGACTCAAGCTGTCATGCATCAGCCATATTTCGTGTCGGCTTATTGCCAATGTGAACGATGCAGCCGAGAATTAACGATCAACATGTGAAATAAGTAAATCTGTTTCTTTCTTTTAAAAAAAGTAAATGTGCACGTCATACCCTTATCTGACGAGCTGCTTGGCTAATACTTTGATTTTTTTATCATCAAAGAGTTCGTTTCTTACTGGTATTATATCACACTACAGGGTAATGTAAACTCAAATGTGAAAATACAATGTAGATATAATTAAAGATATTACAGAAGTTAGATTTTATCATTTAATGTGAATGTGTATCGTCCAGTGGGAAGGAATACGTGGAAAGATTTATTGGATAAATCACGTATATTCTTACTGTGTTAACTTTACAATTTGACAGGGAATAAAGGTTGTGAATATCGAGACCCGAGATGTACGCTCACACGAGAATATCGTGAAACGTAAGTAAGAAAGACAGTTAGTCACCACTACACACCCACCACGACCACCAATCAGAGAGAGAGAGAGAGAGAGAGAGAGATAGATAGAGAGAGAGAGAGAGAGAGAGAGAGAGAGAGAGAAAGAGGGAGGGAGAGAGGGGGACACATACTGACCAAATTTGACGCTCACAGACACACAGAGTCACAAACAGTCACACACAGACACATATAATAAGAATATTGCATGGTCGGTCCATCACGACATTGTTAACTAATTTGTTTACACACACGCTCTCTCTCTCTCTCACACACACACACACACACACACACACACACACACACACACACACACACACACACACACTCACACACACACACACACACACACACACACACACACACACACACACACACACACACACACACACACACACACACACACACAAACTCTAGAGTTGATCTAGACAAAAACTAAATTAGAAGAAAGTCAACGTATATTGCCAAACATTATTGTGTCAGATGACATCATGACCAAAACGTATTGATGAGCTACAACATGTGTCAATAGGTATATTCCATCTTCTTATTTCTTATCCCATAATTGCCTTTCAGTGGAAACAACCGTCAACTCCGACTCGACTGATGATTTCGATGGATCAATTTGGTCCTGTAAATACGTCAAGATGTTGCGCATCTTTTACGTGAAATCCCCGGAAATGACATCATACGCCTCCACCAAGCTGACGTCACGCCTCTTCCCTCCATTACGCCTCGGTGTTAAGACGTTCGAAACCATGTCCCAGACGATGGCCAGGATAGCAGCCTGGCATTCCGTCACGCGTAAGCTCTGTTTTTTAGGAGTGAGTGAGTGAGGCTGGGCTTAACACCGTTTTCAGCAATCCTATGTCGTGTGAACTTATGGAGTGACAGAGTTAGTATACAGACAGAAGTTTGCTGTTTAACGCAGCGATATTACAGCTATATGACGACGGCCTGAAAATTATCGAGTCTTAGCCCGACTTACTAGTGACTGATATTATGAGCATCGATCGTGGGATACGATGCCACGCTATCAACCAAGTCACCAAACTTGACAACCGATCAATTATGTCTTCTCTTGTCCACTTTACCGTAAAAGAGATTTAATGCAAAGCGAGATGCCTCGGCGATAAGATATGTGATGCCTTGGCATGAAGGGGTAGCCTGGTGGTTGAAGCGTTGGCTGGTCAAGCCGAAAACCTGTGTTCGAATCACCACATAGGATCAACGGGTGAATCGACGATTTAAGCATTTTGAAAATTCGAAATGTGTTGCTGCCATTAAAATATTTACATTTGGAGTTGCTATTCCCTATTCACAGGCCTGATCATACATCACTTACAACTAAATCATCGATATATTTCAGGTTTGCCCATATTTGGAGTAGAAACTGTGCACTACCCCTTTGTCGACAACAACAACATCGGGTTTAACCCTGAGAGGTCTGACTACTCCACGTCGAAACACACGGGCATGACACTGGTCACGGCAATCAGGTGAGTTGGAGGAATGTGCATCTCAGTCAGGGGTGTAACGATTGGTGGAACATTCGATGCCATCCGTTTGGGGCGTAAAGAAGTACATAACTACTCATGCATCTCAGTCAGGAGCGGTACGATTGATCGAACCATTGAAACATCTCAATTAGGAGTGTAACGATAGATCGAACTATTGAAGCATCTCAGGTAGGGTGTAACGATTGATCGAACTATTGAAGCATCTCAGTCAGTGGTGTAACGATTGATCGAACCATTGAAACATCTCCATTAGGTGTGTAACGATAGATCGAACTATTGAAACATCTCAGGTAGGGGTGTAACGATTGATCGAACTATTGAAGCATCTCAGTCAGTGGTGTAACGATTGATCGAACCATTGAAACATCTCCATCAGGAGTGTAACGATTGATCGAACTATAAAAGCATCTCAGTTAGGGGTGTAACGATTGATCGAACTATAGAAGCATCTCAGTCAGGGGTGTAACGATTGATGGAACTTTCGATGCCATTGATTTAGGACGTAACGAAGTACATAGCTACTCATGCATCTCGGTTACGGGTGTGACGATTGGTGGAACTATCGAACCATCTCAGTTACGGGTGGAACGACTGATCAAATTATCGATGTATCTATCGTGATGATACTACTGTTAATCCAGAATAAGTAGAACCAACCCACAAAACACTTTTGCGACAAGGAGTCGGTACACAAAATTTGGCCAAACATATTTGGACTGTTACATGTAGAGAGTGACTTAGTGAGATTGATTTTATGCCAGCTTTTAGCAATATTCCAGCACTATCACTGAGGGGAACACGAGCAATGTGCTTCAGACTTTGTTCCAATGTGGGGAATCGAACCCAGGCCTTCGACGTGACGAGCTTAGGCTTTAAGAACTAGTCTACCCCACCGCCCATTGGCAGATAGAGAAGGTGTGCGCATGCTGTGCACGTGTATGTCATGACGATGAAATTGACTACGCTCCCGTGGACATTCGTGTTGTTCACAGGACGATTAAGAGGTCAGTGTGACATGGACTATGTCATGGAGTCAACTGTCACTTCGTTGAGGTGTCAACCTTCACAATCATTTGATGAATGACATGACACTATTATTATTGCTCTCTTGGGTGACAATTATTCAAATTTTACAGAAAATGAATTCCTATCATTGTCGCGATAGATCTCAATTGGTGTTATATGTGCAAATTTGCTGTAACCGTTTTCAGATTAATTGGATACCTCACATCAGTATGTACCATCATAAGCTATTGAACTCGTAACCAGAACTCGTTGTTAGCCGCGACAGGGCACGCACATCGTACTACTTGTCGCGGACCACCCGCAATCCCTTTCTTCCCAATAGTACGCTCCAGGGGGTGGACCGCATACATTGTACTACGGGATTACTCCTTGTGTAAATTGTTTCATCATGTACATGTGAACCTCCTTATGGGGGGTCCCTTGTTAATATGACATTTTAGACCTGTTAAACATCATACCTCGTTTATCTGGAAATGTACAATGAAAAATGTTTGTTTGGAAAATGGTGAGTCTAAACTGTTTTGGAAGGTCTACAGTGTACCAGTGTCCGAAGTAATTCATTGTGGCTTTTGTATGAGTGAAAAGGAATCAAGTTATCCTTCAGAACAAAACGAAAGTACACACTATAAAAAACACGTCCCATTTTAATTCTGGAAACCCAAAAGTCCAGAAACTCTACGCTCTTTGCCCAGTCTCGGTTAAAGGTATTTACAAAATTAAACATGCCGTTTTCATGGGAACATACCAAGGAAGAAAAAATGAAAAAAAAATTGTTTAAAAACTCAATATTTAGACTATGTCGCCCATGGGCCTGCCCATGGGCGAAGTCTGGCCCATGGGTAGGCCCATGGGCAGGCCCATGGGCGAGAATATGTTCCTTTACTTAAAACTCATGTTTTTGTTTCGCAAATACATTTAATGTATTCATTCAAGTATCATGACACAAAATTTAACTCATTTTAACTTAATTCAACGACTTTATAGCGATATTGAAATACTTCGCCCATCGGCGAGAAAAAGGTTTGGCCCATGGGCGAGAATATGTTCCTTTACTTAAAACTCATGATTTTGTTTCGCAAATATATTAAATGTATTTATTGAAGTATCATGACACAAAATTTAACTCATTTTAACTTAATTCAACGATTTTATAGCGATATTGAAATATTTCGCCCACGGGCGAGAAAAAGGTTTGGCCCATGGGCGAGAATATGTTCCTTTACTTAAAACTCATGATTTTGTTTCGCAAATATATTAAATGTATTTATTGAAGTATCATGACACAAAATTTAACTCATTTTAACTTAATTCAACTATTTTATAGCGATATTGAAATATTTCGCCCATGGGCGAGAAAAAGGTTTGGCCCATGGGCAGGCCCATGGGTAGGCCCATGGGCAGGCCCATGGGCGAGTATATGTTCCTTTACTTAAAACTCATGATTTTGTTTCGCAAATACATTTAATGTATTTATTGAAGTATCATGACACAAAATTTAACTCATTTTAACTTAATTCAACTATTTTATAGCGATATTGAAATATTTCGCCCATCGGCGAGAAAAAGGTTTGGCCCATGGGCGAGAATATGTTCCTTTACTTAAAACTCATGATTTTGTTTCGCAAATACATTTAATGTATTCATTCAAGTACCATGACACAAAATTTAACTCATTTTAACTTAATTCAACGATTTTATAGCGATATTGAAATATTTCGACCATGGGCGAGAAAAAGGTTTTGCCCATGGGCAAGTATATGTTCCTTTACTTAAAACTCATGTTTTTGTTTCGCAAATACATTAAATGTATTTATTCAAGTATCATGACACAAAATTTAACTAATTTTTACTTAATTCAACTATTTTACGGCGTTATTAAAATATTTCGCCCATGTTTTCGTCAGTCCCTTTCAAGCATCAACTAACTGTTTGCAAAGTATATTGTATCATGTGAAATATACTTGATATTATATCATTACATTACTATTTAAAAAGGGCATTTGGTTGGATGTTTCCTTTAGTTCTACAAATTTCACCTGTTTTACATATTGTAGCGATCTTTAATGAACCCGGCCTTACCTCTCAAAACGTTTTGACAGTTTATCATACGAATTCATGTGCGTGTACACCAATTCATTGGAGTTATTTTCCACAACATTAAATTTTAGTTAGTTTCTATTTCATTTCCCATTTTATGTCCCGTTGATACATCACACTGGGCAATTACGTGACACTAGGTATGCAATATACAGGTACGCGTGCGCGTATTTTAATGAAAAAAACTATTCGTCTTTTATTGCATAACGTTTGGCTGAATATCTTACATTCTAACGAAATCTCGAAATAATTATTTAATTACATGCGGTTTCGAACTGACCAGTGGGAATTATGTCTCAATGCGATTGAGGAAAACGTGAGTGAATATTGTGACACTAAAGCAAGTTTTAACTGCATTGTCACTTTTGGTATGAAAATGGTAACAGTTCAGAAAAAAACAAACAGCCTTCTTATGATAATTCTGATTAGTACGTTGTATCTAATTACAGTGTCGGCCTTATTTACAGGTGATTCTACAATACCTGCTCTCGGTCAATTACGATCTACCACACCACGCGTGAATAAACAGTTATGCAGGTGTTGCTGTGGGCAAATACCTAGCCTGAAAATGTTTATTTTTTTTAGGATACATGTTTTACAAATGTTCGTTGATATGTGGATATATTAAGCACAAAGACAAAAAAATGTTTATGAAAGATGAATTAGTGCCTTGATATATTCATTGAGATGTGTATCATCGTTTAATGGGGTCATTCAATAAACGTATGTTTGGAGGAGATATCAAAGGAGCCGCCCAATATACACAGTGTCGTCCGGTGAACTACCACCCCACCCTGTCCATTAGAGTTATGTAATCGGTACACAAATATATTTGATGCGGTGTCAGTGCGGAAGGAGTTTGAATTACGTCCGCCACTTGCCACAGAAATCCTCAAAGTATAGAAACAATAAACAAGGTCAATCCGTACTAATTACCTAGTGACGCACGTAACAACGACTGTCAATAGGGAAAATGGTGAAAACAAATTGAAATAGATTTTAATAAAACATTATTGTACTAAAAAACTCGTAAAAGCGGTGCCTGAAATTGTTTGACCGTGTTGTGTGTGTTGTAAACTGACGAATAGCAAGTAATTGTCATGCTGTACGCATGGTTCCATATACAAATTCAGTTATACAACCGGTATGAAACTGAGAACTGAGATACCAAGTACAACCTGCATTCACACACGGAAGCAATATACTTGTGTGTATGCCCTCTCCTCTAAAAAATGTATCACTAAAGTATTTGCATTGTAATAAATATAGTAATGATAAAACTTGGTAATTTGGTAGGTCTCCGACAGATATGATTTTCAGTTTTTTTACACCTTTGATTGATACGGATTACGTACCTGTAGTCTAGTCACTGTCTCTAATGTTATCTGCTTGTTAGAAATTTCAAATGTCTTGTTATAGCACTGTTCCTAAAATACGGCAGTTTCCTATATCGGTTATAAATAGTTGATTCGTCTTGTCACGCAGTCATTTTTACTTGATCGAATGATTTCCACAAAAAATTACGGCAGAGAGTTTTGTATTTTATTATATTTTTAGAAGATTTTAGAAGATGCTTACATCACTGTATCTCAGAACGTAAAACTGATAACATTCAAACATGTAATTAGTACACAGTTAATTGTTACATATAATTTCCTGCATATTCCTTTTTGAACAAAAAGCCTACATGTATACTGATATCGGTGTCCACTGTTAAAAGGGTATCAGTGCAGTCAGCCATGGTAAATGGAGAGACAATAATAAGGTGATTAATTATAGTCTGTTGCAGAATATGCGGTATAAGTGTAGTCATTGATACATATACACATTACACATATACAGATGAAATACACGAT